CTTTCTGAAGCACTAACAGGCCCGGCGGAAGCGATTTGACATTGGAGGGGCTGACATACATAATTAAGACAGGAGGTCTGGGGGCCACCTTTAGGCCCCCCATTGGGTCCAGGGCAAAGCCCTGGTGGGTGACCAGGGGGGCGAAGCCCCCTTAAGCTGGTGAATTTTAGCATTGTTTGGTTGCAAATTTAAAAGTTAAAATACACATAAAAACTTTGTTTTCAACCATGTTTTTTTGTGTGTGAAATTTCTCAAATTGTGATGATGACAATAGTAAATGTAAATTGCAAATCATTACTAGGCATGATAAAACTTCTGAAATTGTTACTTTTGATACCAGCAACCAATGCTGTGAGTGAACGGTCAGCAACAGCATTGCACAGAATCAAAACCTATCTGCGATCAACAATGACACAACAACGTCTGAACAACTGCATGCTACTTCATGTCCACAAAGAGGCGACTGCATTTATTAATTCAGTTGATGTTGCAAATGAATGTGTAAACCATGAAAACCGCGAGAGGGTATTTGGAAAGTTCACATCAGATGACTAATTTCACATAGTTTCTTGTTCGATAAGGTCAAGTAAAACTTTTCATATTATGAAGATTGAAATATTTCAACGATATGATTTAAAGAAATAAATATATACACATGTACAATATTGCCACAGAATTGTGTTTTGTCAGTACAGTGTATATGACATTATGAAAATCGACCTGTTAAAACTTGATTATCATGGAATATTTAATATCATTTGTAAAATTTGCAATTTTATTTTTATTTTAACAAAATTATTGGGGAGGGTGTGTATGTGTGTGGCTCCAGCCACCCCAGCAAGATGGTGTGGTGTTGTGTTGACAAGATGGTGTGATGTTGTATTGACAAGATGGTGTGATGTTGTGTTGACAAGATGGTGTGATGTTGTGTTGACAAGATGGTGTGATGTTGTGTTGACAAGATGATAAGGTGTTGTGTTGACAAGAAGGTGTGGTGTCGTGTTGACAAGATGGTGTGGTGTTGTGTTGACAAGATGGTGTGGTGTTGTGTTGACAAGATGGTGTGGTGTTGTGTTGACAAGATGATATGGTGTTATGTTGACAAGATGGTGTGGTGTTGTGTTGACAAGATGAAGTGGTGTTGTGTTGACAAGATGGTGTGGTGTTGTGTTGACAAGATGGTGTGGTGTTGTGTTGACAAGATGATGTGGTGTTGTGTTGACAAGATGGTGTGGTGTTGTGTTGACAAGATGAGATGGTGTTGTGTGAACAAGATGATCTTCAATGCAACTAGTGCTCGAACAAAATTGATCATTATGATATGTAGAAACGTTTCAAGTAGTGTTTAGTTAGAGAGTATCACTATCACCGAAGGAACACTTTAATAACACACGCCACGTGACCTTGTTTCGCATTCAAAATATGCATATTCGACAGACTCGTGTGAGTGCTGAGAGAGACGGGATCATTTCAGACTGAAAGATGGCATGAAAGATCGTGGCCAAAACCCTTTAATTTAGCAACAGTAAACAGTGTGAAGCATAAACAGATATATTAATTTGTTTCAAGATATACACCACAATATTTATAATTCTTTTAGATATATTGATCTAAACTGTTTAGTACTGAAGCTAGAACAGCACAATGTTTCTAGATTATTGGATAGTTCACTTGGTGATAGATCTCGCTATACATTAATTGAAAGAAAGAAACTGTATACATAAAAAATCCAGATAAAAAAATGATAATTTAAAAGAAATCATTATTTAGATATTAAAATCCTGTTCGATTGTTACAATTTTTAAACTTTGCTTTCGCTTGGCGTCAGTGGTCAGCGCATATTGTTTTCCGAGTCTTAGACATGCTAAGAGAACCGTCAAAATTTCTTGCGTTTATTGGTAGTATTAAATTCTATGCATTGTATCAGAAAACAATTGTTTCGTGCTACTTATGGACGAAAATGAACGTTTGCATACTGATTGCGTGCGAGTGGCTTGGAGGAAATTTGCAAAAGAGTTTGGGGGGCACATTGATTCGGTAAATGTTTAATGGAGGCATTCTCACCAGACGACCACGAAACAGGATCGTCCACTAACAGGACGTCCACATATGACGTCACGTCGGCAGGGTACGTGTATACGGACGTCTCATTTGCGTACATAGACACAGAAGTTTCAGAATCGTACGAAGCAGATTCGGGATGTCCCATTATCCCGTTATCTGTCCGGTTTTGTTGATGCAGGAGACAACAGCGCTCCACCAGCAGTTACTGTTCTGAAGTACTATTCACAGATGAGACCAATTTCACTTGAGAGCAGTGACGGTCGTGTTCGGGTGTACTGTCGGCCAGGAGAACGGTTCAGTGACGATCGTGTTCGGGTGTACTATCAGCCAGGAGAACGATTCAGTGACGGGCGTGTTCGGGTGTACTGTCAGCCAGAAGAACGATTCAGTGACGGGCGTGTTCGGGTGTACTGTCAGCCAGAAGAACGATTCAGTGACGGGCGTGTTCGGGTGTACTGTCAGCCAGGAGAACGATTCAGTGACGGGCGTGTTCGGGTGTACTGTCAGCCAGGAGAACGATTCAGTGACGGGCGTGTTCGGGTGTACTGTCAGCCAGGAGAACGGTTCAGTGACGGTCGTGTTCGGGTGTACTGTCAGCCAGAAGAACGATTCAGTGACGGGCGTGTTCGGGTGTACTGTCAGCCAGAAAAACGGTTCAGTGACGGGCGTGTTCGGGTGTACTGTCAGCCAGAAGAACGATTCAGTGACGGGCGTGTTCGGGTGTACTGTCAGCCAGGAGAACGATTCAGTGACGGTTGTGTAATTCAGTGTTGTCGATTCAGGCTACCTTGGCCTGATGAAATTTTAACTAGTACAACATTTAGCATATCTTGTGTATGAATTAATAAATTTTAATATAATAGAATTACACAGGTTGTTTTCCATTGTTTTACTAACAGAAGACCATGTAAAAGTCTCGTATCCGGCGTCGGAGACTGGTGTTCATTTACTTTGGGATATATTTTCGCCAAAAATATCCAGATGAAAAAAAATACAGAACATCAAGAAAGTGTCTTAAGATTTTCTCTTAATCATAATGGCATTGGTTTACTGCATCAACCCTTTGAGCTAAGTCTCTGTAGTTTACGTGTGTAGTTTATAAACCCGGAGGTTCCATTCCATGGCTGGTCTTCCTTTCATCACGTGCTTTTGACAGTTGATAATTCATGTACCAGCCTACAGGTCTGTCTACTGATCCAACATTCACAGTACCCCGCTTCCGCCCGATAATCTCCGAATTCAATATCGTTTATCGGATGTATCTTAGGAAGAGTGTTTTCCGTTTTGATTGTTGAATAAATACATTTCAAATGACAAACCCTCTGTGAGAGGCTTAGTGTCGGGCATGGGATAAAACTAACCGCAACTTCCCGGTCTTTGTGTACTTGTACTATAGGTTTTGTTTAGTAAAATAAAGTCATTTTTCCTCTGTGCGAAATTCGTGTTTCCATTTACGACACAGACTTTAACAGATAAGTACTTCCAGTTATATCCAAATGTTGAATTAAATATAGTGTGACGCAAGTTCAGGAATATCTAGTTTGACCCAGTTCAATAATTATCTAGTGTAACCAAATATAATGAATACCTAGTGTGACTCGGTTTAATGAATAACTAGTGTCGCCAAGTTGAATGGATATCTGGTGTGACCCAATTAAATGAATATCTAGGGTGACCCACTTTAATGAATACCTAGGGTGACCCAGTTAAATGAATATCTAGGGTGACCCACTTTAATGAATACCTAGGGTGACCCAGTTAAATGAATACCTAGGGTGACCCAGTTAAATGAATATCTAGGGTGACCCACTTTAATGAATACCTAGGAGACCCAGTTAAATGAATATCTAGGGTTGCCCACTTTAATGAATACATAGGGTGACCCAGTTAAATGAATATCTAGGGTGACCCACTTTAATGAATATCTAGGGTGACCCAGTTAAATGAATATCTAGGGTGACCCACTTTAATGAATATCTAGGGTGACCCAGTTAAATGAATATCTAGGGTGACCCACTTTAATGAATATCTAGGGTGACCCAGTTAAATGAATATCTAGGGTGACCCAGTTAAATGAATACCTAGGGTGACCCAGTTAAATGAATATCTAGGGTGACCCACTTTAATGAATATCTAGGGTGACCCAGTTAAATGAATATCTAGGGTGACCCACTTTAATGAATACCTAGGGTGACCCAGTTAAATGAATATCTAGGGTGACCCAGTTAAATGAATATCTAGGGTGGCCCACTTTAATGAATACATAGGGTGACCCAGTTAAATGAATATCTAGGGTGACCCAGTTAAATGAATATCTAGGGTGACCCAGTTAAATGAATACCTAGGGTGACCCAGTTAAATGAATATCTAGGGTGACCCACTTTAATGAATATCTAGGGTGACCCAGTTAAATGAATATCTAGGGTGACCCAGTTAAATGAATACCTAGGGTGACCCAGTTAAATGAATATCTAGGGGACCCACTTTACCCACAGTTAAATGAATATCAGTTAAATGAATAGGGTGACCCAGTTAAATGAATATCTAGGGTGGCCCACTTTAATGAATACCTAGGGTGACCCAGTTAAATGAATACCTAGGGTGACCCAGTTAAATGAATATCTAGGGTGACCCAGTTAAATGAATATCTAGGGTGGCCCACTTTAATGAATATCTAGGGTGACCCAGTTAAATGAATATCTAGGGTGACCCAGTTAAATGAATACCTAGGGTGACCCAGTTAAATGAATACCTATGGTGACCCAGTTAAATGAATACCTAGGGTGACCCAGTTAAATGAATACCTAGGGTGACCCAGTTAAATGAATATCTAGGGTGACCCACTTTAATGAATATCTGGTGTTGCGAGGTGAGTTTTTGTTTTTTTTTTTTTTTTTTTTTTTTTGTGGTCGAGCAACAAAAACAGAAAAAACACATTCGAACTTCACCGTTTTAATGTTATCAATGAAGATGGTAACAATATCCATTTAATTTTAACGAAAAGGATCATACTCCGGCTCTGTCCAGTCGACATAACCAGGACACACTGTTACAGGACATAACTGACAGTACAGTGATGTTTTCGATCATCGTTTGGGAGTAACCAGCCTCTGGATTACCCAAAATTATGATCTGATTAAGTAGTATTTTTGCAAAACTTGATCATGTAGACATTGCTATCCTGTGTGATCACGATATTGCTATACAACCATTAAGTCCTTCGTTATATCTTGTTCACGTATTGAACTGTGAGCAGTTCGTTACAGTGATGTCATTCACTGATACATCACGTGACCAGACATAGACAATGGCTCGACCCATCTTTGTCTTGCAGACCTCTGTAAACACCTGGTTGATTCCATCCTACTCTGATAATACAGGTACGTGTATCTTATACAGGTATTTTATTGAGTTGGGATACGGCGCTGAACCACGCTGACCACAACATTTGGAGTTTATCCAACACGTGTGCGAGTGCCGGAAATACGTCACATCCAGTGCACAAGACGGCATCACTCACTAAACAGCCTTGGGGGCATTGTTGCGCCTCAATTCACAACCTTTGGACATTACAGTCCCATAGTACGTAGACATCACAAGATCTTACAGTTACAACACTTTGTTTTCTTCGTACACTTGGTCTCCCATGCTCGATGAGCGCCTAGGATTATCTCCGCGGTCAGGTCTTCGACACCTTCTCCTGTCATGGCGGAACACTCGATATAACTAACGGCACCCATTCTATTGGCAACTTCGGATGCCTGTTTAGCCGATATCACAGAACTCCGTACAACCTGAAATATAAACAGCATTCATGTAGTTACAGGTATTTCTAACTAACAATACGGAGAAATTGTAACTCTCCGCGATATTCAGGGATGTTTTTGTTTGTATCAGATGTCATCTACATTATTTGAAATGAATCTCTGATACTGGATGTAACCTCGACAAATGCCAAAGAATTATAATATGAATAAAGAAGAATAATAAAATGTGTGAGATGTGTAAACAATATAAGATGTAAAGAACTGAGGTTGTACCTACCTGATCCCGTGTGTTGCCTTTCTTGGCGCGTATGTCCGTCTGTGTACCCACAAGTACGAACGGTGTATCGGGCATGTACTGACGCAGTTCCGGTACCCAGCAAACCTCGGCATTCTCTAGGGATTCAGGATTGGTAACAGAGAAACAGACCAAGAACACGTCACTGTTGATGTAGGACAGCACGCGTAGCTTGTTGTAGTCCTCCTGTAAAAAATAAAATCGTTGAGGCATTATGAAGTTTGACTACAGAAAATTAAGTAAGCTCTCAGGTAGAGAAATCATCTGGTCCCGGGAAAAGATAGGGCTTACCCAACACTACCGCTTAGCGAGGTGTCTCTGGTCCCAGGGGAAAATAGGTTCACAATGACACGCATTATTATTAGGTTTATAAATTCATTATTCCCAAATCAACCAATCATGTTTCCAAAGATTGTTTTACAAAGACAGCGGGCTGATAAAAGTCGGCACTGGTTGATGACAACAAAATTTCAATTAACATTAAAATACATTTCTGACAGGAATACGTCACTGATAGGAACATATATCTGACAGGAACGCGTGACTGACGGGCACACATTACTGACAAAAACACGTCACTGACAAGAACACGTCACTGACAGGAACACGCCACTGTCAGGAACCCATATCTGACAGGAACGCGTGACTGACGGGCACACATTACTGACAAGAACACGTCACTGACAGGAACACATATCTGAAAGGAACGCGTGACTGACGGGCACACATTACTGACAAGAACACGTCTCTGACAGGAACACGTCAATGTCGGGCACACGTTACTGACTGGAACATGTAACCAACTTGAAAAGTCTTCGTCAGGAAAGGAACACAACCGACAACAAATAAATTAGAATACTGCACGATAATAATTTGCATGTGACAGTAACTACCCTATTGCATTTTACTTCTTGATTTTAGAAGTACTCAGATTTAAACAATTATAAATAGTTTTGTTGCCTTTTGTTTATCTCCTTCACTACAAGTTATATATTTCCGGCAACCGGAGCAAAAAGTTCCTACCGGAAGCAGAATAAGTCTGCGACATGTGCGTGTCTGATAAGATAAACTTGTCCTCACAAACCGGAGGTTACAAGTGATTTAGATTGTTTAACGGCGCCCTTGAAGTAAAATACTTTTAATGGAAAAGGGAAAAATAAGCGTTATGCTAGTATAACACATTTTTTATAAGTGTGAAATTTGATTTTCCCTGTAGTCCATATGACACTGGCATTAGTTGAATAGAACCTAAGTTAAACCCAACTAACATTGACTGATCTGTACATATAAAATGACATCTATTTTCATATGATAGCCGTTAATATCAGTAAGAGTTAAACAATATGCTGTTAATTATTGACATGTTTACCTACCTTGCCTGCGGTGTCAAACAAACTCAAGTGGTATGGCTTGTCGTCAACTGTCACGGTAGCTGTAAATGACAATAAATACACTGAATTAAATTATCCACAGCGTATCGGAGAACCTGTGACATTCTATCATATAAATAGACATAATAGCATGCTTCAGATGCAAACCCGGGTCAAAGTAGTTAGTACCCGGCCAATTTCTGTCTACCTGTATAAAGTACATTTACATTCGTATACCTTGAGTGCATTAGGAAATATCGACAGGTTAGGTTGGGCAATTTTTAGACTCGAGAGTCGGTAACATGCATGTCGATTACATTGTAACTGAAACGGTATTTAAGTTTTTACAAACCAATAGACCATAGATTAAAAGATGATAAAATCCGCCCCTTTCCGGGAGTGTGAAATAGAACAGGCGGATTATAGAGCCATCAGGTGTGTTTGAGGAGTACAGAGAGAGGTTAACTGGATTACGGACCCCTGATTGTGTGTGAATACTCGTTTTAATAAATATAAAAAAGTACAGAGGCTGACTGAATACGAAGACCCAGAATAATGGTCTACGGCCCCGTGGGCGTGACTGATTCGATGAGCAGTGTTAAATACACGGTGAAGAATTTGAGGTACTTTAGGTGTATATGCATGACCCTACATCCGAAATGTGAGTTTAACGTATGTGATGCACTAAAAGATGTATGTAAGGGCCGCAGGGTCACGGGTGGTACATCCGGGGTAGCTGAATCATAGAATACCTGTGGTTACTCCTTACATACACATAAATGTTAGACCAAATAACAGTCTACAGTTGATATTATTAGATAGACCATGTACCCAAATCTGTGATACGATATTAAGTTATTGTTCACCCCAGGGCTGAACGCTAATCTCCTCCCTTCATATGTTGTCCGTACAAACAGCTGTTCACATACATTGCACGCTACAGAAATACTACTCTGTTGAAAATCGTTACAGCAGACGTAAAGAAGAATTCAATAAATACGTGTTATCGTTACTACCGAACGAATCAAACGTGGACTAAAATGCCTTAGAAATCAACAAACTGTTACGATGTTTGCATATTTGAACACTCCAACAAGAACTTTATTTTATCAATATCCAATTTCTTTACTTTATTAAACAGACGTAAATACATCTAAGTTTAATCTGATCAAATTATTCTCAATAGTTAAACATTTTGTTTATTAAAGTATACAATTATACTAGAATTGTCTAATTTTAGAACTGATTGAATTAAAAATGTAATGTCCCTTAGCGTGAACGTGAATATTCAAAGCTGAGAAAAATGCCTGTAATATCAAGCTGATTAGAATCATATCTTAATTAGCTTAGAAATTCTCCGTATAAAGATCGCTGAGAATATCTAATAAAATCTGGTTTTAATATGATTCCCTAAAATATAGGAATCTGGTACCTCTTTCTCCCCATGTAAATAGGTCTCTGGCTATAGGTACCTCTTTCCATGTAAATAGGTCTCTGGCTATAGGTATCTCTTTCTCTCCATGTAAATAGGTCTCTGGCTATAGGTACCTCTTTCTCTCCATGTAAATAGGTCTCTGGCTATAGGTATCTCTCCCTCCCCATGTAAATAGGTCTCTGGCTATAGGTATCTCTCCCTCCCCATGTAAATAGGTCTCTGGCTATAGGTATCTCTCCCTCCCCATGTAAATAGGTCTCTGGCTATAGGTACCTCTCTCTCCCCATGTAAATAGGTCTCTGGCTATAGGTACCTCTTTCTCTCCATGTAAATAGTTCTCTGGCTATAGGTATCTCTCCCTCCCCATGTAAATAGGTCTCTGGCTATAGGTATCTCTCCCTCCCCATGTAAATAGGTCTCTGGCTATAGGTACCTCTCTCTCCCCATGTAAATAGGTCTCTGGCTATAGGTACCTCTTTCTCTCCATGTAAATAGGTCTCTGGCTATAGGTATCTCTCCCTCCCCATGTAAATAGGTCTCTGGCTATAGGTACCTCTTTCTCTCCATGTAAATAGGTCTCTGGCTATAGGTACCTCTTTCTCTCCATGTAAATAGGTCTCTGGCTATAGGTATCTCTCCCTCCCCATGTAAATAGGTCTCTGGCTATAGGTATCTCTCCCTCCCCATGTAAATAGGTCTCTGGCTATAGGTACCTCTTTCTCTCCATGTAAATAGGTCTCTGGCTATAGGTACCTCTTTCTCTCCATGTAAATAGGTCTCTGGCTATAGGTATCTCTCCCTCCCCATGTAAATAGGTCTCTGGCTATAGGTATCTCTCCCTCCCCATGTAAATAGGTCTCTGGCTATAGGTATCTCTCCCTCCCCATGTAGATAGGTCTCTGGCTGTAGGTATCTCTCCCTCCCCATGTAAATAGGTCTCTGGCTATAGGTACCTCTCCCTCCCCATGTAAATAGGTCTCTGGCTATAGGTACCTCTCATTCCCATGTAAATAGGTCTCTGGCTATAGGTACATTTCCCCCCAAGTAAATAAGTATCTGGTCAATGAATTATTAATATATCTGACTAGTATTCTGGGATAGTCCGGAACCGTATTCCATACAGTAGTTAGTAACACAGGATAGGAGTGCTCAGCGCTCCAGTTATGTAACGCTGCCACTTAAAAACAGTGCTCAAACGATTTTTTTTAAAAGTTGTGGCTTGTGGCAATTGTGGTAAAATGATTAAAGCAAAGGAGCGGTGGGGATAAGAGAAGTGGAAATATTTTACATCAGTATACCATTTCAGGTAATATCATCCAGGTAACACATTGTAAAACACCTGGTTACCACAACCCACGAGCCCTGTAGCTAAACCAAACATGCTGGTTAAGGCCATCGGGAGTGTCAAATAGTTTGATGTTGTTATGACGGAAGAGATGAGGCTGGGTAAATTGGTGGATGTATCAGTCAGTATTAACGACTACACCGATTAAATGATGATTTTGTTTTCTGTGCAACTACGTTGATACAGATATAACAGTATTGACAAATAATGAAACGAAAAACATAAAAGCAGAGATATGACAAATGATGGACAAATTTTAAGTAAACGGGCAAGTAATAAACGGAGAAAATTTATTTATTTATTTAAATATATTTATGTAAGTATACAAATATATGCCAATTTATCACATTTATTACGGAAAATATGAAAAGTAGTCTTACCTGCATAATTATCAAACAGGGTTGGAGTGTAGTCGGTCTTAAAGGTCCTATTTGATACCCGGGCAGCAAGACTGCTCTTCCCGACTCCTGTATCCCCAATCAATACACATTTCAAACTCAACTTTTCCCAAAACTCGTATCTTTTCTTCATGATGACTTGAATGTATCATCCATAGAAAGTTCAGTGCACACACAGTGTATCACACGCGTGTCCCGCATACACAATAAAAATTGAAAATATGAATAGTATCATATACACCTAGTGTGGTGACGTCACCCAGCATAGATAGTCAACCAATCACCAACTCGCAGTATGTCCGACACCGTCTGGCTGACACCTGATTGATATTTACCTGTAAAATACCGGTGGCATGTCTGTATCTTGAGACAATGACCACACATCACATCAGCAGACACAGTGATTCACAGTTTGATATTTAATCATGTGTCAATAAGGATTAGATTATGATACCTCCCGTCACACCCGACGCCGGGCCGTGGACTGATCCAAACATAATCCTGTTCTCTCCTCATTAAGATCACATTACATATTTTGGGTCGTAAATTTGACTTAAACTTATAATAGCGTTAATACATCTGTTATGTATTACACTCCAAAAGTGCACCGGTATTCAACGTTCACGTGTCTGTACAAAAAACAGCGGAAATTTAGGTGAAGAGTTGCTTCCACAATGACTAAATCTGTACGGAAAATAAAATTACAGATATTGTGTAACATGGGTGTAACATCGTACACAGGGAACCGTAATGCTGTTACTCCTAGAATAATGGAATTGTCTACTACACACCATGACTGGAATTGTCTACTAGACACATGACTGGAATTGTCTACTAGACACATGACTGGAATGGTCTACTAGACACATGACTGGAATTGTCTACTTGACACATGACTGGAATTGTCTACTAGACACATGACTGGAATTTTCTACTAGACACCATGACTGGAATTGTCTACTAGACACCATGACTGGAATTTTCTACTAGACACCATGACTGGAATTGTCTACTAGACACCATGACAGGAATTGTCTACTAGACACATGACTGGAATTGTCTACTAGACACAATGACTGGAATTGTCTACTAGACACATGACTGGAATTGTCTACTAGACACATGACTGGAATTGTTTACTAGACACAATGACTGGAATTGTCTACTAGACACATTACTGGAATTGTCTACTAGACACATGACTTGAATTGTCTACTAGACACCATGGCCTGAATCATATTACTGGTCTTGACCTGAATTGTCTACAAGGTGTGTTGATTTGAAATGTCAACTAGACGCCATAGCCTGCATTGTCTTTTAGACTCTGTGGCTTTAAATATCTACTAGAAACAAGCTTTAAATATCTTAAACGTCACTGATGTAGTCCTTTTCTAGAAGACATGGCTACAATCCTCCTCCTCCTCTCCTCCTCCTCCTGGTCGTAGTCGTCTTCGCGTCAACAGTTAAGTAGTCATACAAAAAATAATGAAAAAGGGATAAAACACATTCAGAGTTTTGGTATAAAACGTTTGTACTCTCGGACTTAAGGAATACAAGACTGTTACCCTACTACAACCATTTTCTGACATCGCGTATTAGGCATCACTGTTATGATTATATACTAGACACTACTGCTGGAACTGTCTACTAGACACCACTACTGGGACTGTCTGCTAGACACTACTGCTGGGATTGTCTACTAGACACTACTACTGGGATTGTCTACTAGACACTACTGCTGGAATTATATACTAGACACTAATGCTGGGATTGTCTACTAGACACTACTGCTGGGACTGTCAGCTAGATACCACTGCTGAAACTGTCAGCTAGACACCACTACTGGGACTGTCAGCTAGATACCACTGCTGGGACTGTCTGCTAGATACCACTACTGGGACTGTCTGCTAGATACTACTGCTGAAACTGTGAGGTAGACACCACTGCTGGGTCTGTCAGCTAGATACCACTGCTGGGACTGTCTGCTAGATACCACTACTGGGACTGTCAGCTATATACTACTGCTGAAACTGTCAGCTAGACACCACTGCTGGGACTGTCTGCTAGATACCACTGCTGGGACTGTCTGCTAGATACCACTGCTGGGACTGTCTGCTAGATACCACCACTGCTGGGACTAGATACCACTGCTACTGTCTGCTAGATACCACTGCTGGGACTGTCACTGCTGGATGTGTCTGAGATACCACTGCTGGGACTGTCTGCTAGATACCACTGCTGGGACTGTCTGCTAGATACCACTACTGGGACTGTCTGCTAGATACCACTGCTGGGACTGTCTGCTAGATACCACTGCTGGGACTGTCTGCTAGATACCACTGCTGGGACTGTCTGCTAGATACCACTGCTGGGACTGTCTGCTAGATACCACTGCTGGGACTGTCTGCTAGATACCACTGCTGGGACTGTCTGCTAGATACCACTACTGGGACTGTCTGCTAGATACCACTGCTGGGACTGTCTGCTAGATACCACTGCTGGGACTGTCTCCTAGATACCACAGCTGGATGTGTCTGCTAGATACCACTGAAGGGATTGTCTGTTAGTTACCACTGCTGGGACTGTCAGCTAGATACCACAGCTGGATGTGTCTGCTAGATACCACTGCTGGGACTGTCTGCTAGATACCACTGCTGGAACTGTCTGCTAGATACCACCGTTGGGACTGTCTGCTAGATACCACCGCTGGGACTGTCTGCTAGATACTACTGCTGAAACTGTCAGCTAGATACCACTGCTGGGACTGTCTGCTAGACACCACTGCTGGGACTGTCTACTAGATACCACTGCTGGGACTGCCTGCTAGTTACCACTACTGGGACTGTCTCCTAGATACCACTGCTGGGACTGTCTACTAGATACCACTACTGGGATTGTCTATAAGACACTATAGCTTGAATTGTTTACTAGACACTATCGCTAGGATTGTCTTATATTTGGTACTAGACATCACTGTTGGGTTTTTATAGTCACCTAGGATTGTCTATTAGACACCATTGCTAGGGGTCGTCTACCTGACACTATTGATACCATTACACTAAAACTACCACCAGACAGTATGTAACGCGCCTGTCAATGTTAAATGGCTCTTCCTAGAAATATAAAGGATATTTATTGTGTTCAGACGTATTTCCTGTAGAACCTGTGGCTGAGGTTATTGTTTACACGTTTGTTGTTTAACACAATTTTACATTGTTTACTGACGTCGTCAACAAACACCATTAGTAATCAATATGCACTTATTCATCGTGCACTTTTATAGCTGGCATAAGTCCTGAAACACATACTAAGTAATTTAGTACATAAAACCGGTTATGTCATACAGTTACACGAGTCTGTCAGGTTCTGTAGTATAACTTGATTGGGACGGTTTCACCGTTATTGTGAGTTGGTGACGTTCGGCCGAGACATATAAATGAAAATTCGAATCATAGGACATTTCAGCTAATAATTTGCCAACGGTAGTGTTATAGAACGAAGTAGTGTTATAGAACGAAGTAGTGTTATAGAACGAAATAATTCGGAACCATCTTTCCGACACATCAAGGAGTCGATTTTTCAAAGTTATATTTTTTTATAAAAGTTTGTACACGTCTTGTTATACCGTTACCAACGCCTTGGTATAGGTTAACGTTCCGACCACTTACCGATTGTCCGCTGAAAGGTCAAAAGGTCGTAATAGTGGACGTAAGACCCCTTAAATAACATAAAATTAATACCACTCACAGAGACCCATACTGGGATGAATGCCGCTCGATCTTGATCATTCACTCAGAAACATAAATACAGTTTGGCCAGGTCCCGAAACAAGTTTGACAACGCCATGATATGCTACTTACGCTTTTTGCTTAATTTTGGGATTTGGAAACTCGATATTAAAATAAATCAATAAATGAGCTTTTGATTTCCAGCATTTTATAACCATGTTGCTTTAATAAATTGACAACAGTTTTTTAAATGAGGATTATAGCAAGCGTGACAGATCATATCTATCGAAAACAAAGTAAATCCAGTTGAAAGTTGACGTACGAGAAGTCGGTTTATGCAGCTTTGTGGCATTCCAGCATCACAGGAAACTTATATTGTCCCGCCCTGCAAGCACGTAATTCTAAAGTCCGGACCGGATACTGGGCATGCCACTAAACACCGGTAACAGCCACAGGGACCGGAACTAAGATAGGGTACTGTGTGAGAATATAGGCCATATTATCACTTTAATCTGCTGTACTAGTGTATTGTCTAGGACTCCTATACGTGCACATTTTTTTTTTAAACATTTCCCATACGTCGGTCTATGTTCATAGCGACCTTCTATAATAAACAAAGCTGTATTCATAAAATTTAATACCGTAAATTTACTTTTTTGCTCAATCCTCTAATGCTTCTACTTAAAACCTTATAACAAAACCAAACAAACAAGAAAAAATGAATCAATTAAAAAAACAATAAAAAATGTGCATACCGTGTATATTTTAGTACGTGCCTAAGAGTCATTTCTGTGACGAAATGAAAATATTAATCGATTTCTTTTATCAAAGAGATATCGCCTTCAACTTTGGTCAGAAGTGTTTCGAAGTCCCTGCAAAAGGAGAACTGGCCTCACCTTGTTGATGTAGATGGTGTTTCTCGGATGGTTAATCATGTTGTGTAAGGCAGACCAAAAACAATAGATCTGTATTTCGTTAAACAGTTATTTGTGCATGGAAAAATATGTCCATTTTCGGTCTGCCGAAACAAGAAATAACACAAATAAATGATACTGTTCCGAAAAAAGAATGAAATTTAAAAATGTGTAGAACATTTGTGATTGGATTTATGCCTATGTGGAGAGATATTCCATACAGATTCTAACACTAAACACATTATGTCAGGGAGATGGTCTGGATACTAACACCAGACACATTATATCAGTGAGAGGGTCTGGATACTAACACTGGACACATTATATCAGGGAGAGGGTCTAAATACTAACACTGGACACATTATATCAGGGAGAGGGTCTGGATACTAACACTGGACACATTATAACAGGGAGAGGGTCTGGATAATAACACTGGACACATTATATCAGGGAGAGGGTCTGAATACTAACACTGGACACATTATATCAGGGAGAGGGTCTGGATACTAACACTGGACACATTGTATAAGGGAGAGGGTCTGGATACTAACAATGGACACATTATATCAGGGAGAGGGTCTGGATACTAACACTGGACACATTATATCAGGGAGAGGGTCTGGATACTAACACTGGACACATTGTATAAGGGAGAGGGTCTGGATACTAACAATGGACACATTATATCAGGGAGAGGGTCTGAATACTAACACTGGACACATTATATCAGGGAGAGGGTCTGGATACTAACACTGGACACATTATATCAGGGAGAGGGTCTGGATACTAACACTGGACACATTATATCAGGGAGAGGGTCTGGATACTAACACTGGACACATTATATCAGGGAGAGGGTCATTGTATAAGGGAGAGGGTCTGAATACTAACACTGGACACAATACATCAGGGAGAGGGTCTGGATACTAACACTGGACACATTATATCAGGGAGAGGGTCTGGATACTAACACTGGACACATTATATCAGGGAGAGGGTCTGGATACTAACACTGGACACATTATATCAGTGAGAGGGTCTGGATACTAACACTGGATGCATTATATCAGGGAGAGGGTCTGGATACTAACACTGGACACAATACATCAGGGAGAGGGTTTGGATACTAACACTGGACACATTATATCAGGGAGAGGGTCTGGATACTAACCTCCAACACATTACATCCAGGAGTGGGTCTGGATAGTAACATAAAATGCGAATTCAATACAGAAAATAACAAAAGACTTCAACTTCACATTGTATATACTATGATTTCAATCACACATTTATTCTTCAGCACAATATATTGTGTATACTAGGATGCAAATCCTGTAGCTGTTTCTATCACTTTCTGCTCATCCTCATCAGACATATTTCTGAATTGGGAGAGTTCCATGACAAAGGATGCAGTTCCAGATGTAATCTGACGGAGATCAGAAGAGTATCCACGAAGTTCGACCAGTGGGACTGAGGCTTCCACCAAGCGCACGCCATCCCTATAATGAACAGCATCCAGTTCACATCGTCTCATTGCCAAGTCTTTAAGGATGGACGACAGCCACTCCTCCTCTGTGGAAATCTGTTGAGGAAAGGAGATATTCTTGATAAGTTACACCTAAGATTAACAATGCCAATCGAGTGGATTTTACCACTTTAGAATAACAAGAGATCCAAAAGGGATGTGGGTACCCTCAATTGGTGGTTTTCTTTACTAGAACTAATGTATACCCATTACTCTGAGAGACCTATTCGAACCTGACATGCATCTACCTTCAATCATTGAACCTGAAAAGCAATCTCAACTCATCACTTTTGTTCATTACCAATTGAATGAATTCCACTAGAATATGCTCTCACGGACTTTGTCAACCCTTCCACCCCAAATCCCCTTCAAGCCAAATTCAGGTAAACCAGACATTTTCAAAATTTTGACTAATCAGAAATCTCTACTGTGTTGGCTTCCATGTTATAAATAACCTGAAATTTGGAAATAAATAAGGTTTAATTAGTTAAAGCTATGACCCCGCTTTACTTAATGGAAAACTGTGTAGATGGTCATCTCCAAAATACTGACCAATAATCTGTATTAATAATAATGCTGGTAATCATCTTCTATTGCTTCATAATTGCAGTCAAATACTGCTTATTAAGATGTTATCAAATGTGAAAAAACTTGATCTTGTACAATGTTAACCTTACCATATACCAGCAGGCAACAAACCAAACTATTTTATCTTAAGATGATACTAATTAAGAAGATATATTAACATATGTATATGTATGTTTATCTGGTTTTGAGATTTTCACTATTGACTTCTAGCAACATCCATTGTTTACTTGTTTGTAATATTTAGTGTAAACAGAAAAGTAACATAGAATTTTGCTCTGAAAAAAACGTTGTAAGTGGGTAAGTATTTAAATGAATAAAATTTCTTATGGGACTCTAATACAAAGCTAGTACTTGTATAACATGTTATTATGACCTGAGATATACCAACAAACCTACCATCACCTCGATTTATAGCACATTTTTGAAAGAGGATCACTTAAGTGACCATGTTCTTATCTCTATCGATACAAACATTTCCATTATCAATACAAAATATCACTAAATATAAAAAATCTAAAAGCAGAATGTTTTTATTCATTTCATGGTAAGATGTTTCTGCTAAATACTCCCCCAATAAAAGTCGCAATACTGGACTTGACATTAACTGGATCCACTTCAAGGGAAACAACTCTAGATTGTACACCCTACTTGCCTCCAGTTACAACACAAGGGACATAACTCTTGGTAGTAAGCCAGATAATTCACTCCACAGCACTCTTATGTATTTGTCTCTCACCTCTAGTTTCATGACAGGTTCCTGAAGTCTTGGGTCTGCCTGCTCTAAAGCATGCCTTACACATTGCGATGCACAAGCACCAATCATAGGGAGGGACGTCCCTCGCCCGATATCAAAGTTTAATAGGGACACCTCCACATTTATCACTGGGTAGCCCAAAATGGGACCTGTAAATCACACAATTCCTAAATTTAGTAAGCTTCATTAACTTTATACACTGAACAACATAGTGAAATTACTAATTGTAAACATTGGGAACCTAAACATGAGATGCTGTCAATAATGAATGTGTTAATCTTTACTATTCAATAACATATGGAATCATTTTATTTGTTCTCAATATATTTTTTTGTGTTTGTACAAGAAGAAATCATCAATAACTTTATCAATATGACATCAGCCTAACAACTACAATGGAAAGTTACCAATGATATCATCACTTCTTAACTAACAGACACAGAAAACAGTCATGTGTAAAATCTCTTTATTTCTTGACAATGATCTGCTTCCTGCCACAGATTGACAGTCCTATTTCTAGACAGTAATTGAAAGTCTACCTCATGATGCTGATTGAGTCATACACCCCACCTCCTGACAGTAATTGACAGTTTGCCTCCTGACAGTAAATGAGAGTTCTACTTCCAGACAGTTATGGACACTAATACCTCCGGACAGTGATTGACACAAATACCTCCGAACAGTAATTGACACTAATACCTCTGGACAGCGATTGACACTAATACCTCCTGACAGTGATTGACACTAATACCTCCTGACAGTGATTGACATTAATACCTCCGGACAGTAATTGAGAGTTCTACTTCCAGACAGTGATTGACACTAATACCTCCTGACAGTGATTGACACTAATACCTCCTGACAGTGATTGACACTAATACCTCCTGACAGTGATTGACACTAATACCTCCTGACAGTGATGGACACTAATACCTCCTGACAGTGACTGACACTGACATCTCCTGAGAGTGATTGACACTAATACCTCTGGACAGTGATTGACACTAATACCTCCTGACAGTGATTGACATTAATACCTCCGGACAGTAATTGAGAGTTCTACTTCCAGACAGTGATTGACACTAATACCTCCTGACAGTGATTGACACTAATACCTCCTGACAGTGATTGACACTTATACCACATGACACTGGCTGACAGGGATTGACAGTCCTACTTCCTGACACTGATTGACACTAAAACCACAGGACACTGGCTGACAGGGATTGACAGTCCTACTTCCTGACACTGATTGACACTAAAACCACATGACACTGGCTGACAGGGATTGACAGTCCTACCTCCTGACACTGATTGACACTAAAACCACATGACACTGGCTGACAGGGATTGAGAGTCCTACTTCCTGACACTGATTGACACTAAAACCACAGGACACTGGCTGACAGGGATTGACAGTCCTACTTCCTGACACTGATTGACACTAAAACCACAGGACACTGGCTGACAGGGATTGACAGTCCTACTTCCTGACACTGATTGACACTAAAACCACAGGACACTGGCTGACAGGGATTGACAGTCCTACTTCCTGACACTGATTGACACTAATACCACATGACACTGGCTGACAGGGATTGACAGTCCTACTTCCTGACACTGATTGACACTAATACCACATGACACTGATTGACAGGGATTGACAGTCCTACTTCCTGACACTGATTGACACTAAAACCACAGGACACTGGCTGACAGGGATTGACAGTCCTACTTCCTGACACTGATTGACACTAAAACCACATGACACTGGCTGACAGGGATTGACAGTCCTACTTCCTGACACTGATTGACACTAAAACCACAGGACACTGGCTGACAGGGATTGACAGTCCTACTTCCTGACACTGATTGACACTAAAACCACATGACACTGGCTGACAGGGATTGACAGTCCTACTTCCTGACACTGATTGACACTAAAACCACAGGACACTGGCTGACAGGGATTGACAGTCCTACTTCCTGACACTGATTGACACTAATACCACATGACACTGGCTGACAGGGATTGACAGTCCTACTTCCTGACACTGATTGACACTAATACCACATGACACTGCCTGACAGGGATTGACAGTCCTACCTGATGATAATGCCGCCTTTACACCATTCTCAATGGCTCTGACATGTTTCCATTTTATATTCTGTAAAGAAGGATTTTTCTCCTTATTTGCTATCTTGACATGGGTGAATTTTTCTGCAGCTGGATTATGGTTGATGGCCATCGTGAGATTGACTGTGTGATGTTGATTGCCAATCCATGTGTCGAGATTTTCATTGTGAACAACTTCCTTTCTACTGATGGCCTCTCTATATGCTACCTGTAAAGGTCCTAAATCCACATCAACTTTGTATTCTTTGATTATACGGTTCTTTATAACTTCCATGTGTAGCTCCCCCATGCCTGAGAGGATTGTCTGGCTGGTCTCTTCTTTAAACTCCACCTACATAAAAACATCACTAGTTTATCGTATCTTATCTGTAAACTATCCCCTACCTTATATACTCTCCAGACACATTTGAAGTGCTGCCAATTTGCACCAGAAGATTGGTCCCCATAAACTTCCTCTACATATACTTGCAGACTAGTCCAAACACACTACCTATATACACCTGTATTCACCTTTAGACTGGTCCCCACACACTCCCTATACACAACTGTATATTCCTTTAGACTGGTCCACACACACTCCCTATACACACCTGTATATGCCTTTAGACTGGTCCACACACACTCCCTATACACACATGTATACACCTTTAGACTGGTGCACACACACTCCCTATACACACCTGTATACACCTTTAGACTGGTCCCCACACACTCCCTATACACACCTGTATATGCCTTTAGACTGGTCCCCACACACTTCCTATACACACCTGCCTATGCCTTTAGGCTGGTCCACACACACTCCCTATACACACCTGTCTATGTCCACACCTTTACACACCTGACTGGTCCACACACACTCCCTATACACACCTGTATATGCCTTTAGACTGGTCCACACACACTCCCTATACACACCTGTATATGCCTTTAGACTGGTCCACACACTCCCTATACACACCTGTCTATGCCTTTAGACTGGTCCACACACACTCCCTATACATACCTGTCTATGCCTTTAGACTGGTCCACACACACTCCCTATACACACCTGTATATGCCTTTAGACTGGTCCACACACACTCCCTATACACACCTGTCTATGCCTTTAGACTGGTCCCCACACACTCCCTATACACAACTGTATATTCCTTTAGACTGGTCCACACACACTCCCTATACACACCTGTATCCACACACACGCCTTATACACACATGTATACACCTTTAGACTGGTGCACACACACTCCCTATACACACCTGTCTATGCCTTTAGACTGGTCCACACACACTCCCTATACACACCTGTATATGCCTTTAGACTGGTCCACACACACTCCCTATACACACCTGTCTATGCCTTTAGACTGGTCCACACACACTCCCTATACACACCTATATATGCCTTTAGACTGGTCCACACACACTCCCTATACACACCTGTCTATGCCTTTAGACTGGTCCCCACACACTCCCTATACACACCTGTATATGCCTTTAGACTGGTCCACACACACTCCCTATACACACCTGTATATGCCTTTAGACTGGTCCCCACACACTCCCTATACACACCTGTCTATGCCTTTAGACTGGTCCACACACACTCCCTATACACACCTGTATATGCCTTTAGACTGGTCCACACACACTCCCTATACACACCTGTATATGCCTTTAGACTGGTCCACACACACTCCCTATACATACCTGTCTATGCCTTTAGACTGGTCCACACACACTCCCTATACATACCTGTATATGCCTTTAGACTGGTCCACACACACTCCCTATACACACCTGTCTATGCCTTTAGACTGGTCCACACACACTCCCTATACACACCTGTATATGCCTTTAGACTGGTCCACACACACTTCCTATACACACCTGTCTATGCCTTTAGGCTGGTCCACACACACTCCCTATACACACCTGTCTATGCCTTTAGACTGGTCCACACACACTCCCTATACACACCTGTATATGCCTTTAGACTGGTCCACACACACTCCCTATACACACCTGTCTATGCCTTTAGACTGGTCCACACACACTCCCTATACACACCTGTCTATGCCTTTAGACTGGTCCCCACACACTCCCTATACACACCTGTATACGCCTTTAGACTGGTCCCCACACACTCCCTATACACACCTGTCTATGCCTTTAGGCTGGTCCACACACACTCCCTATACACACCTGTCTATGCCTTTAGACTGGTCCACACACACTCCCTATACACACCTGTCTATGCCTTTAGACTGGTCCACACACACTCCCTATACATACCTGTATATGCCTTTAGACTGGTCCACACACACTCCCTATACACACCTGTATATGCCTTTAGACTGGTCCACACACACTCCCTATACACACCTGTCTATGCCTTTAGACTGGTCCACACACACTCCCTATACACACCTGTCTATGCCTTTAGACTGGTCCCCACACACTCCCTATACACACCTCTATACTGGTCCTCACATAGTTTCTTCATACATAAAGACTGACCCCTAACACTCAATATATATACACACCCTACACACATATATACCTGTAAACTGCCCTCCACCAAACATATTCCTATACACACTGTATAGATTGTGCCCCTTTCCACACCTCCTATCACTACACACCAGTTGATTACCTCCCCTTCACTCCCCATATTTCCCATATACTTCTGTATATTGTCTCCTCTTTCTTATATTCCCTATACACACATATTGATTTCCTACACACATGTAGATCCCCCAAAACACACACTCATTTCCCATACTCACCTGAAATTTGTCCCCTCCTCTTCATATTACCTGTACACACTTGTAATTTAACCACACACTCATTTCCCGTACACACCTGTAACTTGTCCCTCCTCTCCATATTTCCATATATACAGTAATACATACATGTAGACTTGGGTCCTCTCGCTGTAGACACTCCAGTGCTAACTCCATCTTCCGCTGACTAGACATTGAAGGTGACTCTATGGAACAAAAGAATACTGGAGGTGGTATCTGTATCCCAGCCAGAATGGAATCACTAATATCATCTTCATCAATGTCATCTTCATCACATAGATTTGAACTCTGAATAGCCTGCTGGCTTGCTGAACCCAGTTCCTCTGCCTGTACTTTAAGCATGTTTTTCCGTGCTCTTCTAGCTGCAGGTTGACTGCTTGTAATTGTGTCTCCTGTTCTCACCTGTGGGAAAATAAACAAAGGTTGACAATTCTTGTTCAAATACATGATTTTTAAATGCCAATGAAGATTTTACCATTTAGACAGATTGTAAGTTTGATATGTCTATCTCTTATTTCAGTTTTGTTTTCTTCAGGAAAATTTTTCATTTCAAACCTGTCTTTATCCTAACATATTGCTGTGTTATTTGGTTACACATTGGTTGCCTAGAAAACTTTGATTTGGACTCCATGATCAATGAACTTGACCTGTGATGTTTAACACCAGAATATCAGCTATACACCTAAGGTTTAGTCCATTAACACAAACTTGTGCCTGGTACAAAAAATAACAAGCTTATATTGAGTAACACTATAGTCAAATGACCTACCTACTAAAGACCAGTAAAACACACGGCGTTCAGTCCATAGACTTACTAACTTGAGTCAAGTAACACACAAAACAATTTGTCCAGAGACTTACTAACTTAAAGTCAGTAACACACAAAACAATTTGTCCAGAGACTTACTAACGTAAGTCCATTAACACACCACTATGGTGTCTTGTCCAAAGACTTACCGACTTTAATCCAGTTACACACACTATATTTCCTGGTCCAGAAAATGGAATTTCCTGAAAACTGTCTGCATAAACCTGTAGTAGGCGTGTCACTTTCTCACTTACATTCTGGTTCACGTTATATATGTTGGTCTTTCCTTTTATTTCCCCATTGTAAATTCTAAGGAAAGTCAGAGTACCTCGTTCCTTATGATGAACAATTTTAAAGACCAGAGCACACAAGTCTTTACCATAAAACTTAGTAAATTCAAAATTTCTATCACCTGGATTTGGAAGATAGAGACATATAGAGTCTATTAGAGGTTGTATACCCATGTTCCGTAGAGAACTTCCTCCCATCACAGGCACAACATGTCTGTCTATTGTAGCCTGCCTCAGTCCTTGCACCAAATCTATAGCAGGAATATCTGCTACAGGTGTATTAGACAGTACATGGTCCTCCAGTTTGGAATCAAAATCTGCTATTGTTTCAACAATAGCTGTTCTCCACTTCATCATTTCTTCCCATAAAGTCTGATCTGCCTCTGAGATTTTTTTGATATCAAATTTTCTTCCATCTGGTGATTCCGTCAGATCCCATGTGAGTAAGTTTTTACCGACAACGTCAATCTGTTTCAAACTGTTCCTATCACAACTGATTGGTACATATATTGGCATTGTTTTTACATGTAACTTGTCCTCTATCGACTGCAAACACTGCTGGAAATCTGCATTTGGTTTGTCCATCTTGTTTAGGTAAATTATTGAGGGAATATTGTACCTCTCTGCTTGGCGCCAAACTGTTAATGTCTGAGCCTCCACACCTGAAGGTCATTCAGAAAAAAATGAGCATCTCACAATACACATCTGGCATTCTAACCACAGCTGATATTACAAGCAGTCAGGTAAATTAGCTATAAGGTCAGTCAGTGGCAAAATGGTGTGTCAGTAACAAGGTCAGTTTGTGAAAAAGGTCATTAGTGATAAGGTGTGTCAGTAACAAGGAGTGTCTGTAACAAGGTGCGTCTGTAACAAGGAGTGTCAGTATCAAGGTCAGTCAGTGGAAAGGTCATTAGTAACAATGAGTGTCTGTAACAAGAAGTGTCTGTAACAAGATTTGTCGGTAACAAGGTCAGTCAGTGGAAAGGTCATTTGTGAGAAGGAGTGTCTGTAACAAGGAGTGTCTGTAGCAAGATTTGTCCGTAACAAGGAGTGTCTGTAACAAGGAGTGTCTGTAACAAGGTGTGTCTGTAACAAGGAGTGTCAGTATCAAGGTCAGTCAGTGGAAAGGTCATTAGTAACAATGAGTGTCTGTAACAAGGAGTGTCTGTAGCAAGATTTGTCCGTAACAAGGTCAGTCAGTAGAAAGGTCATTAGTGACAAGGTGTGTCAGTATCAAGGTCAGTCAGTGGAAAGGTCATAAGTGACAAGGAGTGTCTGTAACAAGGTTTGTCAGTAACAAGATCAGTCTGTGAAAAAGGTCATTAGTGACAAGAAGTGTCTGTAACCAGATTTGTTAGCAACAAGGTCAGTCAGTGGAAAGGTCATTAGTGACATGGAGTGTCTGTAACAAGGTCAGTCAGTGGAAAGGTCATTAGTGACAAGGAGTGTCTGTAACAAGGTCAGTCAGTTACAAGGTGTGTCAGTAACAAGTTACATCATGGAACATAAAACTAAGACAAAGTTACAAACTACTTGAGAACAATAATATGAAATATCATGATAATCTCTTAGGCTGGTTGGATGCTACTGAGCAGAAGTGTGAACAAAGAAAAAAAAGAAATTCAGTGTCAAACCTGAAAAACTGGTTATCAGTACATTTCAGTCTCATTCAATTATGAAAACTGATGGTAAAAATCAGTAATTTCATCATCAGAGTTAAATAAATTCACATTTAGGTAGCATGAAAAAAACATTTTTGATAAAAATCTTCAGTTAAATTAAACACACATGAAAAAATTATATAAAAAAATGTTTTGAATATGGTCAAATTAGCCCCACTTTGTCTACATTGCTCCCCACTCCCCCCAACTCACACCAGAAAACTTATTTGCTACTTCTGAGGTAAAGTTCAAAATCAGTGGTGATTTTTATATCAAAACAAAAGTAGAGACTCTGGAACTCATAAGAATGATTAATTTGAAAACATGGGAAGAGCAAAGAAATAATTGACAATTTCAAAGAAAAAAAAATCACACCAGACAAAAACAACTAGGTAATTCAGTAAATTACAGTCCCTCATTGACACTTAAACTATGAAGGTGAACCCATGTCTTAAATGTTATTAAGTTCCTAAACAAACTTTTTCTATGATGTTGGTCAATGGTGAATAAGTAGGTCCGAATTACCTAGTTTTGATACTTGACACACTGTCTCATCTAGTTAGTATTATAGAAATAGGGCTTGGAGAAGCTATTCCTTAGATGTAGGTCAAAGGTTAAAATATAGGTCAGGGTGACCATCTTTTAATATGTGACACAATGCCTGATTAAGGTGAACCCATAACCCAAGTATAAAGTTCCCTGGATTAGTAGTGTAGTGGCTGGACAAGATTGCATAAGGACAGAAAGACAGAAAGATGGATGGACACAACACAAATCTATAGTCCTTTGTGATTCCCAGTGGGGGACTGAAAACAGCTGCAGGGCATTCCCATGCAAGCTGCCTCAGTTAGTAGTGGGATAGGTGGCACTGACTACGAGGAAGGTCTGACCAGACCTGCCTAATGTAACATAGAGATCATCTCTTTTTCATGCTAACACACCTGAGATCTTCGTTTCAGGCTGATGCTTAACTGACATGTTATCATGGCCCACATTTTGTCAACTTTCAAAAGTACCAAAATAGATAAACTAATGTTGTTTAAACACTTGGATTATAGAAAATATTTATAAAATATGTATATGAGCCCTGATGCTTATGAATGAAATCATGCACATAATCTTACTTAGGTCAAGGAAACAAAACATGCAGGTGACAGTTATCTTCATTTAGTATACTGCTGTAAGTTTGTAGAAAAGACCTTTAGATAGTACAGTGCTAGGAAAACATCTTGAACTCAAATCTACAGATGGACAGATCAACAGCTGAAACTCATGCCATGTTGTAGAATGGTAAAAATGACAGATACTGAGGTACTAAATCAGAAACTAATCTGTCTCATGACCCATGGCCTATTGGTCTCATCTGATCCCTGTGACCTGGAAAGTGAGTCAAAGCATTTAATTTCATCAGCTTGGTAGGCTTTCATTCCAGCATGCTACAGGCCTAAAATCAGTGTCCCAAGTCTTTAAATTATTGGGAGGAAGTTGTTTTTTTAAACCTCTGACCCGTGTGATCTAGAAAATGGGTCAAAATCACTCATTTGATAACTTGGTAGCCTTTAAACCCAGCATACTACAGACCCAATATCAATATCCTTGGCCATTTGGTTATTGGGAAGAAGTCATTTAAATATTATAAGATATTGGATAATAGTAAGCTTGCAAGATGGTCAGGGTCATTCACTTTAAAAAACTTGGTAGGCTTTCATTCTAGTATCCTACATGCACAATATCATCACCCTGCAACATTTAACTATTGAGAACAAGTTGTTCATAACCTTCAACAAATATGACCCTTGTGACCATGAAAGCAGATCAAAATAATTCATTTGAACCAACCTGATAGCTGTTCATCCCAGCAAGCTTTGAGTAGCGGAGCTAGAAATTAGGTAAAACAAAACACAGATCCCTTTCATAAAAAAATCAGTAAACATATTTTATATTATCAAATGGTAATTTATGCTTACAAACCTGCAGCAGCATCTAGAACTGTGACAGTTCCATCGAGGACTCGCAAGCACCGCTCCACCTCCACCGTAAAATCAATATGACCTGTGAAAAGAATCAAAAACATTAACAGAGAAAGTCAATCACAGACTACAGATCACCTGTATAAATCACTCACCAGCAGTATCATATCATAGGACACATATACACAAGTCACCACACTAAGTAAACAGTGTCCTACCATAGGACATATATACACAGGTCATCATATCATACAGTACACAGTGCCCTACCATAGGACACATCTACACAGGTCACCATTATTATACAGTAAATTGTCCTACCATTGGACATATATACACAAGTCACCATATTATACAGTAAACAGTGTCCTTCCATAGGACACATATATACAGGTCACCATTATTATACAGTAAAGTGTCCTACCATTGGACATATATACACATGTCACCATATTATACAGTAAACAGTGTCCTATCATAGGACACATATATACAGGTCACCATTATTATACAGTAAAGTGTCCTACCATTGGACATATATACACATGTCACCATATTATACAGTAAACAGTGTCCTATCATAGGACACATATACACAGGTCACCACACTAAGTAAACAGTGTCCTACCATAGGACACATATACACAGGTCACCACACTAAGTAAACAGTGTCCTACCATAGGACACATATACACAGGTCACCATATTATACAGTAAACAGTGTCCTATCATAGGACACATATACACAGGTCACCATATTATACAATAAACAGTGTCCTACCATAGGACACATATACACAGGTCATCATATTATACAGTAAAGTGTCCTACCATAGGACATATATTCACAGAATATCACACAATACAGTAAATAGAATCCTACCTGGGGTGTCCAGTAGATTAATCCTGTGTTTATTCCAGTCAAAAGTTACAGCAGCGGATGTAATTGTGATTCCCCTTTCTCGCTCTTGATCCATGTAGTCAGTCACAGTATCACCATCATCAACAGATCCTGTTATAACATATTGCAATTATATTCCTGTATTTGAACAATGTTAACACAATAACGTTCCTGGAGTGAAAACAGCGGCCAGATCCTTTTCAATTCAACAATTCAAGAATTATTCCTTCAGAAGCTTGTTGACATTTTTCAAATTTGAAACATGTCAATAGACTTCTGATGGAATAAATCTTGAATTGGATAAGATCTGACCATGTTGTCTTAACACTAGGAACCTGATTCTACTTTATATAATGAGGGCTCTGTATACTTCTTGTATCCACAGCAGTTCTTGCAAAAAGTTTCACTGAAACTTACCAAAAGAAGGGCAATGTAACCTTCCATTCTTCATTTCTTCTATAATTTGGTATGTTGTGTCATTGAACTTCTTGTTAATAATCATTTATTGTCAATATCAACTTCGTCCAGCATTAGACCCAAAATTAGAAGTCTAAAGTTGAATGTCTGTGACATTGAGATTCAAAAGTGGTGGAGTATAGTGTACTCATAGGTGAGAGGTATCGTAGGTTAAGATACATGAGTAGTTCAGGTGTTATAGCTTGACAAAATGGCTATTCCAACACACATATCGGCCTTATTCAATATAGAGTACACTGCCAAACACATCCTCTCTACGTCTGTCCCACTAACATAAGCTGGCCTATGTATGTAGGCATCTTTGTTGCCTATGAGTCACTTGGGGATGAAATCTAACATGTCCTGTATGGAATTGTGTGATTATGTTGATCTACTTTTTATTTCTTTAGCACAGTCATGCCAGGAGACATGGGATGACTCTCAACCCATCCAACTCCTTAGGATATAATACAGTATTTTATACATTTGTAAGTGTGACCTTACATATGGAGCTACTCAGGTTCTAGTCTGGGTTTGTACATACATGGCTATTTAGTAATAAAAAAAGTCACATAAAACATTTAACATATTTATATGGTGCACAAAAGTAACAAACGCCATTGCTTTGTTTATCTTTTACAATTATAACTATAATTTGTCCAAGACACAGTCCGGGATTCATCTCTCACAGGAGGAGAAGGAATAACCGATGTCAGAAACGATATTCCTTCATTAGAGATCATACCGGCGAAATAGAGATTGACTTTTAACGAGCAACTATTGAATACCTTCTACCGTATATAGAACTATGATTACATACAATGTCCATTTACTCAAATTAAGTGCACTGACAATCACTGAGACTGACTTAAACTTGTACTGCAGCACCTGTCAAAATTACGTCCAATTACCCTACCAAGGTGTTCGCTGAAGCCAGAATAGAATAGCATGCGTTCGGTTGTTGTCGTTTTCCCAGCGTCTATGTGAGCAATTATTCCAGTATTCCGTATCCGATTCGTTTCTTCGGACTTTGATAATTTGAAAGCTAATCTGTGTTGTATGATAACAGGACATCTTCGACATAATATTGTTTTGAACAGGTTTGCCGACCGAAATGTCAAAAATAGGCATCGCATGGCTAACTGTTCTATTCGGAACATTAATACTGTACTAAAACCCCGAGGTACTTCCTCGTTATTATAATCGGCAAAACAGATTTCGGAACAATATTTCCGGATTCAACTAATTTAATAATAACAGAAAAAACATTTGAAAAAAAGTTGTTGAAGGAAAAGGTTATATGCTATTTCATAATAACTTCATACACATCCCAAAACCTTTGCGCGGTAACGTTAATGTTAAAACCGAGATTTTATGTGAAATGTGGTTTACCATCATGACATCTGTTTCAGAACACATTTTTCAAAGCAGCAAGAGTCAGACTCCACTTTTACCAGTCTGGAATTAATAGAGTCATCAAACAATACAGTGACTTGATATTTATTTAAACATATGACACCAGGGTCACAAATCAAAGAGTTGTACGGGGTAGTCAGACACTGTAGTAGAGCGAGTTGTGGTCAGACATCATTATCACCAGTCAAAAAGTTGTGGTCAGACACTAAGGTCAATTGTGTAGCAAGTTGTGGTCAGATAGCATGGTCACAAGTCAAAGAGTTGTGGTCAGACATCATTATCACCAGTCAAAAAGTTGTGGTCAGACACTAAGGTCACTAGTGTAGCAAGTCGTGGTCAGATGGCATGGTCACAAGTCAAAGAGATGTGGTCAGACACTATGGTCACTAGTGTAGCATATTGTGGTCAGACACTATGGTCACTAGTGTAGCATATTGTGGTCAGACACCAAGGTCACAAATCAAAGAGCTGTCTCAAGTCATAAGTGTAGCAAGTCGTGGTCAAACACTAAGGTCACAAGTCAAGGAGTTGTGGTCAGAAACAGAAACAATGGTTACTAGACCAGATTGTTCTGGTCAGATATCATGGTTACTAGTCTTGGTAGTTGTGGTCAGACACCATGGTTACTAGTCTAGATAGTTGTGGTCAGACACCATGGTTACTAGACCAGACAGTTCTGTTCATTCACAATGGTTACTAGTCTAGAGAGATATAGTAAGATACCAGGGTCACTGGACCAGAGAAAGGTGGTCAGACACCATGGTAACAAGACCAGAGAGTGGTGGTCAGACAACTTGGATACAAGACAACAGAGTTATGGGAGGTATGGGGTCAGACAACTTGGATACAAGACAAGAGTTATGGTCAGACACCATGGTCACTGTGATCATACTTACATGCTAGCAGTATTTTAAAATATCAAATCACAAAACATACTGACATTGCTCAAGTATTTTTATTTTTGCCAGTTTTTACATTTCAAGTATGTAAATGGGAGTGTATGAGAATTCCTAATGACTTCTTGTAACGTAAGTAGTTTGGTCAGGCTTAGACACATCAAATGTTTCTACTATATCAAGCCTACATTGAAATAGTAGTACACACAAAATCATGAAAAATAACACCACACTGAACTGATTCCTATCAACATCTATGATATGACAAATATTATATTGGAAAAAAAATAACCAAAATTTGATGCAAAAAGATATAAAAAATCTGGTGTGAATCACTTTGAATTAAGAAAATATGAAGTAATACACAATAACAAAGTTCTCAAAGATTTACAAAATACAGTGAATTATCCTTTTCAATGTAAGTGTTACTTTAATTACTCTACAATAATTTTGTACAGTTTGATGATATATTGCCATTTTTTCCCCAGTTAGCTTACTGCAAATATACCACATGATTTTGCCACTTGTTGTCAAATTTGGAACAAGATTAACATTTTGTCCATGCCATAGTTTTGCCAAGAAAGAGCTGGGACTAAAAATATATAATGTATGCCTTTTTCAATGAAGATATTTTAGTTTAATATTTACCATGCATGAAATAAAAATCTCATAATACAGTATTTCAAGTGTATGATTTTAAAAAAAAGTATGTTATTTTTAATCATTTTTTGTACCATCAAATCACTTTATAATGTCAAACTTCCCTTTGAAACAGTGACAGTCTAATGAAGTATAATAACATGACTTCACTAGACTTATAAAGGCTATAGAATAATTAGTTAAAACTGAACACAAACAGAGAAAAACTAATGATTATAGAAAAGAATAAAATTCTTCTTGGTCCCCGTTTTTCTTCAGAAGTGTTCATAAAAACAGAAATAAGTATCACTATTTATTATCAGTTTTAAACACTGGTGGTACAGTGTACATCGCTGGTAATGAAGGACCAGATGTCAAGTTAGGAACAAGAACAGTCACTCTAATATACCTGCTGTACTATTGTTACTTAAAATAACTTTGAATATGAATACAAAATCTGGTTCAAAATTGTAATTCAATGGCTGAGATGGGAAACAAATAAACACAAATGAAGTGCCAAATGGGCAAATCTTAATTATGTATAGTGATGTACAACAAGCATAATGCTGATACAAAGTAATTACAAAATAATAGAATATACATAAACATGATGCAGACTCTACACACTAAACAAACATGCTCATTTTTATTTCTCTTTCTTCAGTATCCTGTATTATTTATATTGACTGACTTAACAATTGTGAAAACCACATATTCATTCTTTCTTTGCTTCTGTAGTTCACGAACACTATTATTCTGAAGGCAATAATGCTTAAAAATTCAACATTTGTTCAAATACAATATAAAGGAAGAAATTGTGATTAAACTTAAGATATTGTTACTGTTGGAAGAGGACAATATCATAAGTAAATAATGGTTATGTTTTTTCCCTGACCCTGGATAAATAAGACACATGATGGACATAGTAAATCTGGCCTTGTGCAAGACACTTGATGGCCGTCTTTCACTTCCATCCATGGATCTGGGTAAGGCACTTCATGGCCATAACTAACCTCTGACCCCAAGACACATGATAGTTATGTCTAACCCCTGGCCCTGGGTTAGACACATTATCTAAACCCTAGCACTGGGTACCTTGATAGCCTAGTCCTCTACAAGATACTTGATGGCTACATCTAACCCTTGCCCTGGCTTAAATACATAGGTATAGTACAGGTTATATGATTCCTGGGTAAGGTAAATAATAGTACAATGTACCTCTAGTGACAATTTATATAGAATTATTTTCTTTCAGACAGAAATATTCCCATAATGATCGGAACATAGAAATACATAGAAAAGGAAACTGTTTATATGTATTATTTGAAAGAATAAGACTGAAATAAGGTAATCCGGCCTTGCATAATCTTATATCCTGTCTACTATCCGTACAAAAGGACAAACATTTCTGACTTCACCATGGGAAGGCACTAATAATTGTTGTACTTTAAGGATATCAAACAAACCTGCCATTACAGTTCTCTAATTTCAAACTTTTGTTTACATATACCATTCCAATCTATCCAATATATACTAAATCTTAACTATTTCTCATGTGTTTACAGTACAACTTACACCAAAAATATCTCAAATCTTTCACAATATCAATTTGAAGATTCTCCAATATATCGTAGCCAGGGACAGGTGAACAATACCATCAAAGACAACTGATTTTAACAATCATGTGACCATGTAAAAATACAATTAAAAGTAATTTTGCACAGACACATGATGATGCAATAACATACTTTTTCATGGAAATAGCAGGAAAAATATATTTTTAAATGTATAAAATACAATCAGTGTATCAAGTAACAAAAAGAATTGACAATATGACAACACTATATATAAAGTAGTACTGTATACTGTACTGTGGTAATGCCCTTGTAATCATATACAACATTGTATGAAAAGCAGTCCTATCTACCCGGTACTAAGTTTTCAGTAGTTCAGTGGTACCTGGGATAAGTAAGGTATAAAAACATATGTAAATGAGGTAAACATCACATGATCTAAGGCGTCATGTCCTATCATGTTGAGTTATTGCATGTAATTACATCTGTTGTCACGAAAAAACAAAAACTCAACCATATATTCTGCTTGATTTAAACTTTGACTGTAAGACAAATTTTCTAACATCACCATACATGTAGTCATATATCACTTGCACATGTATGAGATATATTTATGCTGAATATTATAGGTAAGTATAATGTTGAGCTAGTAGAGACACCAAAAGAAAAAAAAATTAAATTCATCAAGACCACTTACTTGACTACATGGAAACTAACAAGTTTCTGTTTTTAGTCAATTATATGAATGTGATATTTGGAGTTGACCATACATCCATTCATGAAGATGTACATATACATGTATTTGTTATATACATTTTATAAAGCAAATTCTATTGTTTTCAACAAATTTTTAACACATAATTGGCCACAATCAGTTGATTTCAAACTGAAAACTGACATAAAAAGGAAGAAAATACATATGTAAAAGTCTTTGGTGACATAAGCTTGTTTATCAGCTATATATAAACATCATGACATATATACTAAATTACTATTAATCAAACACTACAAACAAATGAGTTACACATCCTAGTTGGGGAATCCTCCTGGGTTTATAAAACATTGTTTGATACACAATGTACAATGTCCACTTAAGGAAGGATTGAAACAGTGTTTGCACTTTTAACTGGATTTCATCTGTTATAAAATTTACAATAATATAGTATGAACATTAATCATGTTTGAAAATGAAATAGGACAGTATAATTCTCCATGTTAGGGACTTTTGATACTTGTACATCAAAAACATCAAGATGGAATAAAGTATTGTAAACAAACAATTTGGTGCTATTAAATTTAAGCCTACTATCACTTTTGATTTACTATATAATCAGTATAAAGCAATCATATCGAAGCAGGGTCAATATGTGCATCTCATTAAACTATCATCTTAAACTATTCTAACCAGGTTTGAACTATTTGGAATAAAAAATACAAAAATAACGTTAAAAAATCTGATTTTCCTGTATAAACTATAGTAAATTTTACCCTCTCCCCTGGGGGAAATTTGAGACTCTGGGACATCAAATTCACAATTTTAAAGCATCTGAAGACCTTCCATCCATGAAGAGCACTTGATTCTACCAAACCTGGGATTTGAGAAGAAGATTTTTGGCCTCGCCACTCAGGTGCCTGGGGGTTGAGGACTACATAATTTACAATTTTGGTGTGCCTTTTGCCATGAAAGGTTTTTAAAAATTTTACTGACAAAGTCTCAAATGACCTGAAAGCAATACTTATCTTATAAACAGGTAACATGTAACTGATAAAAGGTGAGAGTAGTACATATATTTTAAGTAGGTATATGTGTTCTACAGGACTGACACTGTTACACATTTTTCAGATAAAAGCAAACACATTAATGTGTTCCTAAAGATAAGAGATAGGATATAAACTTATGAATATCCTTTTTAATGTATTAGACTGACTTCCAAATTATGTTACTTTATCAGTCAAGATTTCAGATTAAGTCTACGATACATCCTGACATATCAGGAAAATCACACATATATAAAATTACCACGCATATCTAACATTGTTTCCATGGAAACTGAGACTTGAAAATTTCATCTGTGTAAAATTAATGTATTAAAGAACTGAGAGATGTTGAAAACTAAAATATCACAGCAACATATCTTTCTAAGAAGGTATAAAAAATGCCACAGTTAAAGAGGATATCTATCGTATAGAAACGTAACCAATCACATCATCCTGTTGTGTACAGTACCCTGTTGGTAGAATGATGGACAAAATGTAAACATCTAGATTGTGTCAGAGAACTAGTATTCAGTAAAATTCCACTAGAATAGGTAACAAAATGTCTATGTACATTGTGGGGGTATAGGAAACAGTCAAGCACAACAAAATTTAATGCCACAAAGAGAAAACCAGAAACAGTTAATATCAAAAGAATGATGTGCAAGTACCAAGTTAAACAACTGTTGAATAACATGTTCATCTATAGAAAAAAAGGTTAGTATTTAATACTAAAATCACACACTTCACTAAGAGGTTAATCCAACCTAAGCTGGCAGCATTACTAGGATTTCCACAGTAGGCATAATTACTGTAATACAAAAGTTACAAATCAATTTACACAATATATACAGTACACAGTCTGATTGTCAGTAGCTGAGAAACTATATACAGTAGAACCCCAATATCTCACAGTCAGTAGCACGATGGTAAACCTGCAAGTTTCTGAGTTTTCTATTTAAATTAGTTTTAATGTTTGGTGAAAAGTTTGGTCAGGACTGTTGGAATACTTCAAACTTAACAGTGCATTTATCAACAAGACTGGAAAATGTCTTCAATTTCAAATGTGCATTTATAATTACTAAGTATAGGGGATATCATATAAAACCATAAACAGTGTATGTCCAGCACACATAATTAAACACTCAGGCTGTTGATAGTACAAGTCTTCATTTAATAAAATACTTAAAAATTGTCTTCTTTTAAACTTCATAAAAATTAAGATGTAAAATTAAGTATTTTCTAGAAAAATACTACAAGGAAATAAGAAAGCAGATACAAAATTTTCTAAGACTGAAATTCATCATTCATAAGAAATGTTTTAGTTTCATAATATTCCATAAGAGAAAAAACACAAACTGGTTTCAAGTTTATAGTGGTGACGGATTCATTGTGATCATTATTGTCAAAATTTTAAAAAATAACAAATAATAGACCAATCACAAACTTAAAAGAGATGGTAAATGTTTAAAACATACTTATAGTTTATCAGTTAAAAGCTTGCAGTTATGTAACTTAACACTATTAGAGGAAATCATTTCAAAAAAGGTTCTCAGTTTCCAGCAGAAGCTCCATGTTATCACCACAGAAAACTTAAGATATATGAATTGTAATGATAACTATAGTTTTAACTGAATATCATAACCAACCAGTTGTTTTTTTCTGTTTAAACCTTGGTCAATTCTATATCTAGTCTGCATATATATGTTATACCAACCAGAAGATTTGTTTTTCAAAACCTCAAAAATTTATAAACTCTTAAAACAAAAGATCTGAATATCAAAATGAAGTAAAAAATACAATGAAGCACTATACTGGTATATATAAATAAAGATAAAATATTTTCTTCCGTGACTTAATAAATTATACTACCAATGCTTGTAAAAAGTCCTGTGTTCAATGCTATCGAGAATATCCTAGTACATTTCAATGTATACAACATATCATACCCTTGTTAATACACAACGTAGGCATTTGTTAAAGCTACATTTAAAATTAAAGCCATGTATATGGTTAACACTAGAATTAAAGAAAAAAATCAAAACATAAAAAACCTTCATGTTAAAACATGTAATCATGGATAAAATATAAAAAAAAAGGATTTCTACTGGATAGCTCAACCTTAATATACACACCCAAACCCTTCTTCCAGTGAATTCATAGAAAATGATCCAATACAAAAATTGGATGAATATATGTTGGAATGTTTGGGGTGAGCATGATTATCTAATACTGATGTTTTAAAGACCCAATATAGAATTATAAAACATATTCCTGGTCTAGACCCCCTGCCTGATGTTGTGCTTTCTCCACATGGGTCCTCAATGATTCCTCTGTGTTAAAGCCTTTCTGACATACTTTACAACGGAAATGCATTTTTAGATGCACACCAAGTCCATTAAATGTGGCAAAACCCCTGTTGCAGAATTTACACTTGTGGTTTAACTGACCGAGGTGTACAGTGGTTATTCCAGTAACTTTACGCCTGTCTGATCCAGTATCTTCAGGCCCAGGGGATTTACTAGGCACAGTCACCTCCCAATCTATGTCCTTTCCATGGACACTACGTACATGTTTCTGAAGGTCATAACACACAGAGTACTTCTTTTCACAGTGGGCACAAGCATATGGCTTATCTTTGGAATGAACTCGCTTACAATGTTGCTCTAGACTGTCATTTCCCCAGAACCTTTTGACACACAATGAGCATTTGTATGGTCGAAATTCTCCATGGTGCATCTTAATATGTCGTTTTAGATTCCCTACATAGGCAAACTGTTTGTCACATTTAGGACAGGGGTAGGAACCCTGTTCATTTGTGGGAGTCTGAGTTGCATCCTTGAGGGCTTCACTGAGATCTTCTAGTGTGTTTTCTGTGCCACTAGAGGGTGTGGCAGGAGGATTAGGAGTCAGTGGGCTTGTAGGGGTAGGCGGTAAGATTGGAGTAGTGGGTGTTGGGGGTAAGATGGAGGTTGCTGGGGATGTGGGACTGTTCACAGATTTAGGAGAAAGATCAATGACTTCTTCAGGATTGACAACCTCAGTTGAGCTAATGACTTCGGTGGGAATGATGACTTCAGAAGGAGGGGTGACCTTTACTTTGGTAGGGCTGATAACCTCAGTGGGAGGGATGACGTTGGTTGTAGGGATGGCCTCATTTGTGGTGGCAGAATCATTGGGTGAGACAACCTTTGAGGGCGACTGTTCTGCATCACTTTGCTCCCCAGTAGAAGGACTAGAACTTGGCGAATCTAATGCTGAAATAACCAATGAAAACAAAAAATAATTAAAACCAGAATTTTGGCAGAATTATCAAAGGCTATTCAAGAATACCTTTTCAATAATGCCTACTTAAAAATAGCAAACTTGAATTGCACTTTCTGCAGGAATTAACTTTGATAAGGACATTAACATCTTATCACAAATAAATATCAGATAAAAAATATCTTCCTAGACGAGTTATTTGAACACATTTAAGACTACATCATATGTATGGAAAACTTGTGCTTTGTCCTCATAACCACTCACATGATTCTGTATTTCTAATCTCTGCAGAGAGGAGACTGTTGTTGGCAAGGGTAGATGACTCTGCCTCCTCTGTGGATACCTTGCGACGTTTACAGGCATTGATCTTGTTCTGAGAGAGGAGTTCATTATAGTAGTTAAGGAGAACCTCTCTATCTGACACTGCCTCACACTCTGCCATCTTGAAAACTCATGTCTGAGAACATTTAAAAGCAACCAGTCCTTGCAATTGGATAGCCATTTTCACGAAAGTACATTGTTGAGTGATTTGCTGAAAATATATATGATGCAAAGTTTTATTTTAGATATTCTGCTAAATGCATAAAAATGATTATGTTAAATGTTACTTAATTATCTCATGGCAGAAATTTGCAAAATTACTGTACATGTACAAATTCTAACTCAATTGCTTATAATTTCTTCGCAAACCATGCCACAATCTATTCTAACATTTTTGTATTGATATTATACTGATGTTCGCAAAGAATAGTTTGAGAGATAATTGAAAATGAGACAACTGGCATGATCACAGGACACAAAGAATGACTGGTTCCAAGTTAATATACTCACTGTCTGTTATATTATGAATATCATAACATTTGAACAATTTTCACAAAAGCTTTGTGTCATATGAAAGAAAGTATTATTAGTTCACATTTAATTTATACACCGTCTACTACAGACATCAGGAGTATTCTTTTCAAATGTTCTTTTAAAAAAGAAGAAGAAGCGGGGGAAATCTAAGTACAGGAAATATGATAATATACAAAATGCACATCTTCCGCGCGTATTTTTTTCAGTCAACTATATTTCATTGACCCAGAAACTACAACATACAATAATATCTTAAAAAAATAAACTATGTAAAGTTAAAAAAAACTATGCAAAAAATTGTTTTCGTTATCAAGGACAATAACACACACATAAAAAACGTTATATCTTTATTCCGACTATATTTTTTAGCCTTACCAATTCAAGTACTGCACCGTGTTCAATCAGCCGTGAAGTTTACTCCATAATTTATGCAAAAATCTTAGAAAATAAAACTTTGTTTACCTACTCGTCTTCGTCAATTTGATAAAATAATAACTAATCATTACACATAAAACGAACAAAGGTTAATATCTAACAATACATCAATTACAGAACCGTCTCTTAAAAACTAGACGGGGCAATAAAATACACCGGAGGCCTTGTTGATGCATGTCCTAGAAATCTAACTCGTTCCTCGCGTGACCCCAATATTCCGTAAGTGTCTTCGACAAGTAAAACAACTTTCCAACACCTTGTAACAGTTAAGTGTACACCCTAAACACTTACCTTAATGACTGGTTCTACATTTTGATGTCATAAATTACTCCAAGTAACTTTTGGAAACTTTTTGAACTGTTTACAATAAGTTTCCACCCCGTACCTCTTGCCCTGTCCACTACTTTTTTACTCGTTGACGCAAAAGAGTTCCAATATTTCCCGAAAAGCTGACGTCATTGATCAAAACTGTTTTGCATACGACCTAGACCTACATACAAATTAGGCACGCTTTAATAAATGCATTGAATATTTGCAAATAGTTTTTTTAATGACATGAACTTATCCGCAATCTTTTAAGTATAACAGCTATGAACGTACATTTACACATTATAAAACAATGATAATATGTTATATTATTTTGGTCCTCGAAGCGGTAACAAAGCCAAAGAAGATAAGTTGTGGGTATAAACATATAGTTAGTATTATACATATCTATATGATATAGAATTACAATACAATAAAGATGTATATAAAATGTCATTATTTATTTCAATGCATCCGCTAAGATTTGAAACGGTAACTTCTGCCTTCTTAGTCTTTCGCTCAACCGATCAATCTAAATATGATATATCAAATGAATTGACATTTTCGTTGTGACTCGTGAAGACATCTCGTTCTGTTTTGCATGGTAAGAGGAATAAATTGATTGTCAAATTTATGGTATACAGATGCTTGCAGGAGCAGAGGCGGACTGTGGACCAGTGGAGGCCTGGGTATTTTCTGTGGGTTGTCGACAGCTGAGACATTTTTTTAAAAAGTTGTCTAGGATGTTGAATGGGACGACGTCATGAGAATAGTGAGATTACGACGTCAAAACGACAGGGATGTTGACTTGGGATGATTACGACTGCGTCGGGATGACTGTGGGATGGATTGGCGTACAGGGATGTTGACTGTGGTTGACTGTGTGATGTTGACTTTGGGATGTTGACTGTGGGATGTTGGCTTAGGGATACTGACTGCGGTGTATTGACTGAGATGTTGACTGTGGGATGTTGACTGTGGGTTACTGACTGCGGTGTATTGACTGGGATGTTGACTGTGGGATGTTGACTGTGGGATACTGACTGCGGTGTATTGACTGGGATGTTGACTGCGGGATACTGACTGCGGTGTTTTGACTGTGGGATGTTGACTGTGGGATGTTGACTGCGGGATGTTGACTGTGGGATACTGACTGCGGTGTATTGACTGGGATGTTGACTGTGGGATACTGACTGCGGTGTATTGATTGACTGTGGGATGGATGTTGACTGCGGTGTATACTGGGATGTTGACTGGGATGTTGACGGTGTATTGAATGTGGGATACTGTGGGATGACTGCTGCGGTGTGTATTGACTGGGATGTTGACTGTGGGATGTTGACTGTGGGATACTGACTGCGGTGTATTGACTGGGATGTTGACTGTGGGATGTTGACTGTGGGATACTGACTGCGGTGTATTGATTGTGGGATGTTGACTGCGGGATACTGACTGGGATGTTGACTGGGATACTGACTGCGGTGTATTGACTGGGATGTTGACTGCGGGTTCAGTGCCATTTCATCTCACCATTTCTTCAGATGATCATATCTAATAAAGATAATTCAATTTTTACTGGGAAATATATCTGTATCTGGGATGACTATGCGATGTTGACTATGGGATACTGAGTAAGTGCCTCATCTCACCACATGATCATATCTAATAAAGATAATTCAATTTTTAAAATATATCTTATATAGTAACCTAGACATTTCATAGATTTAAAAAAAATCTTATAAACAAACAAGATATCTTACTAACAAATAAAATATCTTAATTAAGTATGTCTGTTAATGGATCAATATTTTTCCATAAATAAATGACAACTTGGCTTGTCATTGTAACGGTATTATTACACCCGCTGGAATTTCAGTTCCTGTCATATACTAGTAATGATAATATAATACTATTTCTATCAGTACACACTTGCTGTGTATATTTTTGCTGTGTTTGACAACAACAGAAAGCCTGCGTACATTACGTACATTACGGAGAGTAGCCAGGAGTCATTTTTGTTTTAGAAGCATTTCTTTACTATCCAAACAGGTCGCCATGAGGGTCGACCCGAGACTGAGAGAGGATGCTCTCTCGGGTGTACAATATCGTTTATGGTTTACATATTCTGGCTGCAAAACTAACAGCCTTTTTAGCATTAAAAATGAAAGGTAAAATCTAAGGTCTTTATTCATTTTGACATTATTTTTCCCGAAAATGTTTCTAGTTAACAATTTTAGTTGCGTCCTTTTTAAAGAGATCAATTGGATTTACACTGTTATATTTTAAATAACATGACGTGTTTGTATTTTTAATAATGTATCAAAATCATTTATGTAATTAATTACGGTAACGCACGAAGTTCTAAAACGTACTTATTATACATATAGGTTTGTAACTATTCCAGAATTCAACACCTGCATGTAACAAACCAGGGTATAATCAATAGTAGATAACCGAATTACAAAAAAGCAGAAAGATGACTAGGAGTCATTTTTCGCTCACCTCTCACTTTGAAAAATTCGATGAAGATTTCAAACCAACTACCTGTAATGTACAGAATTAATCTATACCCAAGAAGTATATGTCAACGTTTCAATTTTCGTCACTTTATTCAATCATTTTATTTAAAAGTGTTAAATGTTTAAAATCCAATTTTATTAAAAAAAAAAAAAAAAAAACAATCTGTGATTAACATTGAAGTCTATGGGGAAACGGAAAGTGGAGAATATATGGTTCCTCTGCTGGTAGGCATGGCACCCGTCTCGTCCCGACAAGGTCCTAAAATTATTTTTGACGTTACGTGTCTGGATTCAAGTCACCATATTGCAACTAGTTAGTTATATGTTATACATCCCAAAACAACTCTCTCTCTCTCTCCCCTCTCTCCCTCCCCCCCTCTCTCTCTCCCCCCCCTCTCTCTCTCTATCGGTTGCATCAAGATCTCTACTTTGATCAAAGGTCATTTGTGTATCAATACTTACTATAGATCGCATTTATACATATTATATATGTTTTTTTGAGCCAGTACCTTACAGGTAAATAATACAGATAAAAAAAGGTGCCCCAGTAGAATGCTTTAGATTGAAAGTCGATAATCTATTAGGTCTCTTAGATTTGTCTGGATTTTAAATGTAACTAATGTGTAACAGATCTCTTCTTACGATTAATAGTCCATGAACTGGAGCATACTTATAATTTTTACAGTGTTGATAAGTAATATGAGTTTTTATTCTGCAAGAATATTAAATCAAAGAGTAAATTATCTGAATTTCAACTTCCAGCTCCTTATCAAGAAAAAACAAAAACAAGAAACATATTATCCGAAAACCGATGTGGATGCACGGGAGTACAGAAGTACGCCACTGATATTGTATTTTGATTTTTGTCCACGCCTGAAAATAGTTTCATTGCTCAGTAAGCAAGTCACTCCGTCATGGCTGAGAATTTTTCTCTTTCGGTTATTTTTACTTTCCTGTTATCAATTTGGTCACGCATCACTGATTTAACTCTTCACACAAAATCACAATTTAGCGAGGTAATTTATTCGTCCCTGTTGCATCTGCAGCACTGTTCTCAAGCACTGTAATTGTCTCCATCAATGTTGCTCTTCCTCGTTAATGAAAATAATAGTCGGAGTAGCGCCCTAATGAAACTTTCGGCATCCCAACATGGGTAGTTTACCTGTGTAGAAGAGAACAGGTCACCTGACTAGCCTCAGCTCCTGTTACAGGTGATGATTATGGTCGGTGTTTGTGACGTCATACCTGCCACTTGAGGACGTGTTAATTTGAAGTAGGAAAATTCGTTCAATTTTTTTATACACTTATTTGTCTTAAAACTTAGTGCACAACAACCGCACAAGAGAAGTTTTCCAGTAACAGTAGAATACACGTGACGAAGGTCTGCTGACTCGCGCGTGTTGTAAATTTTAAACATAGTATACCCCGGTGTTTGTCGTCTACCATCCGATAACCGTTTCTTCACGGAGAATCCAATCCTTCCAGTCCCACTTTTTGAGGTTTAAGTACCGATTCCAGATTGTTAACAAACCAGATACAACTGTTTTTACTGATAACATCTGATCCAGCAATTTGACTCTCCGTTTACCAATAACATCTATATTCAGATAAACAATCCATCATTTCCACGGCCATGCGACTTAATGGGATTTCCGTCCAAGCACATTCCAAAACATGCACTTTACTAAACTAGTCGCACTTGCCTTTTTTCGAAAAAAATAAAAACCCCAGCAAAACAAACAAAAAACGCAAGATCTTTATGATGCGAGTGTGTGTGTGTGTGAGAGAGAGAGAGAGAGAGAGAGAGAGAGGAGTGGGGATGGATTGTGCAGCAGAAACGAAATGAGAAGGAAACAGTAACAAGAAGATAAATACGGTGAATGCTAAAGTGATGCTCAAGGTGAATATTACAAGCAGTTTGGAGAAAGAAAAATGTACTTATGAGTACTGAATACTGAGTTTGAGCAAGACCCTATAGCAAACATGCCAGAAAGTTAAGTGTGAAATAAGCTGATCGATCATGACTTAAGCAGATTCAACAGATACATGAGTCGATTTCGTTAGGAGAAGGGTAACCCCCTTTCTGAACGTGTTGCCGTTAACTTTGGATGATCAGAAAACCGGAAGCAGTACTCAAAGGGAGAAAAGGTAAATTTACTTAGAGATCAACCGGCTGAGTGGACGAGTTACCTCCCTTCTATGAACGTACCACCTGTATTGCTTGAGACGAGTTACGACTTCATTTATTGATTCGAGAAGATATATTTTATTCCATTTAAAAATATTTCAAATTTAAACTAAAGGCAGTTTGCAGCTTGTATGTATTTGTTTGAAATGAAATAATTTGTAAATGTTCTGCTACCAGAAAAGCTATTTTGAATATAACTTATAATAAAACTCCATTGATTCAATGCAGTAATGCCGACGAAATTACGGTATAAACACCAAATAATGAATCAATATATCCATAAAATTTTAGAATGTAATTTTCAGCAACGTGGCGTGACATCTTTAGGTTACAGTACACTACCAACCAGAAGGAAATGTTCTGGAATATCTACCTTTTTATTTGTTTTATTCACAAATTATATTGTTATAGATTCTGTACAGTATAGTGTGTGCCTTATCTGGTAAGGTCATTACAAAGATATGTTCGTTTTAGGATTCTCAATTCATAATACGTCCCTGTGCAAGGGATAGAAAACATAGAACACCGAATCTTATTCTAACGTACTCAATTAACGAGAGTGGACTGGCACTGAATCAATGACAAAGCCTAGTCTAACTACACCGAGCGATAACATTTCCGGCGCACTTTAATAGAAATGTACTAATATCACCGGAATTAATCTTACTTCCGTTATCACAGACGAAAGCCTAGAAGGTGCTTTACATTATTGACGTACACAATTATTATCATGCTTAATTCGCACTCATTCAGATGGGTTTTATTGCAACTATTTATAGAAACAGTTGCTGCACCGGATACAGGAAGTTATTTGGTTGTCTTAATTGAAATATCTGCACAAAATATACACCTACAATTATACATATTGTGTATCAGCGTGTACAGAAACATCAGACACAAAACCGACATGTCAACATAGTCTTAATTCAAATTCGATAAAACTAGAGATCGTCGTCATAGATACCGGTAAATGTAAAACTGGTAGTGATAAATGGAGACATTTAATGTTAATAAGATGGGGAAAATAGAGAATTTTATTCGCATTTTCATGTCGAATGAGATATGGCGCATAATGACCCCTATAGACTTATTCCAGTTGGTGTTGTACACTTACGAGTAAACACCGTGTCTAGCTATGATGATAATGGCTTGGCTATATCTATATATTTTGTAATTATTGAATGCGGTGACAGCTACAAAACTACATGTAACTCTATATGTGATAATACTTTGTTTGGGAAGATACTTATGGTACAGTCGAATCGAACCAAAAATCCTGGGATAAGTAACATACGTTCTGATACTGGTGACAGCATTTTTTTCGCATTTGATTATCACTGCATACTATACTAATTGTTGAGAATAGCATTCGTGTTTTGTTTTAGAGTGAAAAAATGATAAATTGAAAGTTGTAATGTTGACGACCAGGTAACATCAATGTACGAACCGACAAAAAACAGTTCCTGATGACAATTTGGATTAAGTGGTTTCCAGATTAAAAAAAAAACATTTTTGGTCAGTTTCAGTTCGAATCAGGCCCTTATGCGGTCCTAATTCTTTACATTTGTCTTTCATATCATACTATTTTATTGTATAGTTTTCTTAACTACTCTTTTCTGTGAGAAATGTCCCAAAATTTGGATCCCAACGAGTTTTTTCGTTTTACAACTCATTCAAACGTATTCCATCGACAGTACAGCAAAGCGATTGAGTACAAGTTGTTACAAATAACTAGGCTTTCTCTCAACGTTACAATACACAATATCAAAAGATAGCACGTGATGACAATATAAGATACGTGCACTAGGTATTCATTATAAACATGTTGATATGGGCAGCACCAGAGAGAAGGAAAGAAGTTGAGGGGACAGAAGACGGATGAAATGAAAACTTCTCTCGTTTAGATTTTAAAGACAGCCAGCTAGTTTCAAGGTATACGTCGCCAGAGGCTACAGATGGGGGAGCCAGACAGACATATGTCTGTCGGTTTCTAACTGACTCTAAGTTCGTCAGAACTTCAAGAGTTTGTAACATAAAAGAAGTGTACATGTCCCCTTACTGACTCTATATTTCAGTCGTCTCGAGCGGTTACTTGACACGATGAGGCTGTTTTGAACATGTTTACAACACGCAGAAACTCCTCAAGGTAGCAATGAAAGTGGAAGTAATCGGTTCATTAGTACAAGTAAGATTGGTTTTACACCAAAAGGTCTGGAGGAGAAGCTTTCGTCTTTACATGTTTGAACTGTATTAGTCATGGAACATTCCAATCCTGTAAACGTGGAATGTCATGGTTTAGGTTGCAGAAGACACTTGGATTGCTTGCTTGACTTGACCGATAAACACGTCGAATTCGACAGAATTGTCGGAATTTCTTCATCAGTATCATTCTGGTAAGCGGTGTACTTTATAATGAATCCATACCACTGCGTTCTCATCAAGTCACCATCATCATCATCATCATCGGCAACAACCATCAGTGATAATGTTTTTTCTAGAGAAGAGAGACGTCTGTCCCGAAGGAGTACGGGGTCACATTTTGAGCTGGTGCTGTCAACTCCCCAAGCTGTTTTTTAGAGGTCTATTGTTTTTGAAAAACAGGATACCACTGGAGAAACTTTACAGAACAATTTATAAGAAATAAAGAACTTCCACGACAACAGTTGACAGACACTTTGAGTACCTGATCAAATATGATGAAATAGTACAGTACAGTAAGAAACTTTAATTGATATTTTCATAGTTTCAAGAATAGATATCTTAAGGTGTTTCTTTGGAAATATCAATTTCTAAACTTCTAAGTCAAATTTTGAAATGGCTACTGTTCACTCCTAAAATACTTCAGCTACTTAATACTAGATAAGATTCTAAGATACTTAAACGTAATCATTCACATAAGTTAATTGACCGAGAGCACTGTTACCAAGGCAGATCCCATGTTACACCCACACTGACTGTATATATCTGTATTGACAACTTGTTCATAAGGAAATTCTGAAGACTGAGTTAGGCCTTTGATTACAAGTTCAGAAGAAAGCTGGTTAATAGTTACCCTGTGTATCTGTTGAGATCTTTTTTTATATAATAATTCAATTTTCTTTAGTCACTAGGACAAGAATCATATAAGGCGACATTGTAGGAAGGAAGGATACATCTACGTAGTAATGACCACCATCTATGTGACGATAATGTCATGTGATAGTGGATACTATAGAAAATGGGATAAGTATAAGTTAGAAGTGTTTAATGACAGTTTGAAGCAGTCAGAGGAGGTAATGAATATGATGTTTGGAAGTCTATGGTGCTATGTAAGGATCGTTCCCATGCCTTTGTTCTACATGATGATGTTTGATGCAGTGTGTGTGGTTGGATGGAGCTATGAGTTGGTCTTTGGTCTTTTGACTTATATAGTGATGTCAGTGGTATTTAAGATATTTAAACATGTCACCAACACTGAAGACGTTTCTATAGTTGTTGGTGACTAATTGAGCTACTCTGTGCTGCAGCATTTATAATAGTCACATTAAACAAAGCAGACGTATTCTTACAAAATTCTAACAAGTCTTTTTTCTGCCTGCTCCTTGACATATGTAGAGGTAACCTTTATGTCTGAGAAAGCTTATGGTGGAATTGACCCTCCCACAGACATTGGACACCTAAATATTTTACTTTGCCTAGGTATTGTAACTCATTTCCATACAGTATGTATTTGTGATGTTGTGTTGGTTGTTCAGGTGATGGAAAGGAATTACATTTATCAGGATTCAACATGCTATCTACCACAGAGCTAATTGATCTAGATCATGTTGTAATAGCTGGGCATCAAATGGGAAAGTGATGTTAAACAATTAAGTTATCTGAAAATAGATGTACAGAGGAACGGAGGCCATTGGGGTGGGAGGGTCATCTATATAGAAAGATAGATGTACAGAGGAACGGAGGTCATCGGGGTGGGAGGGTCATCTATATAGAAAAATAGATGTACAGAGGAACGGAGGTCATCGGGGTGGGGGTCATCTATACAGAAAAATAGATGTACAGAGGAACGGAGGCCATCGGGGTGGGGGGTCATTTATATAGAAAGATAGATGTACAGAGGAACGGAGGCCATCGGGGTGGGGGGTCATTTATATAGAAAGATAGATGTACAGAGGAACGGAGGCCATCGGGGTGGGGGTCATTTATATAGAAAGATAGATTTACAGAGGAACGGAGGCCATCGGAGAGGGGGTCATTTATAAAGAAAGATAGATGTACAGAGGAACGGAGGCCATCGGGGTGCGGGGTCATTTATATAAAAAGATAGATGGACCAATAACCAAACCTTGAGTGACAACAGACATAGCATCAACAGTACTAGCTGTTGTTTACTTACTTTTTTATACCATAATATTGAAGATTATGACAAAGTGAATCACTAACTTTGTGAAAAGTTGGAAAGCTCTTCCTTCTCAATTCAAGGAGCTGACTCACATAGGATACATACGGTGTTGGAGTGGTTAAAGGATGCTTTGATTGTCAATATGGTTCATAATGTTATTAACCACTGTGTGCTTAGAAGTTTGCTACAACTAGTTGTGAGAGAGAATTGCCTTCTGTTTTCTGTATTTAATTTAGAAACATTATTCTCCAATTGGAGTTTATGGAAATCATTCCTGTGGTAGATTTGTTCGGTCTGCATGCACCAAGTTGTGACAATTCAAGTATAAAGATGGGGTCTCGTCTGACTGTACACAAACACTTACACACAACGTATAACACAATATCTATAGATAATAATACAGCTTTTATTTTTGTCATCATTTTAATATTTTTATAAAATGACTTAAATACATTTACACAACATATTAAATGTTTTATATATGGATATGGGAAGAAACAGTAATTATTTATCCTAGTAAAGTAGAAAAGTTTATTTATAATATATACACTGGTATATTGGTACAAATATATAAAGGAAATGATGACCTACAGAACACGTCTTAGTAGTGATTATCTAAATACAACTGTATCTCAGGGGAGATAACTCTTACTTTACACATTCCTGGAGACCAAAAAGAGCAGAAGTAAGAATGTGTGGAGGTATTATGAATAGTGAGATTTCTTTAGAGATATAGGGTAATGTGTAACCAGGGTCTACTCAACCATGCCCCATCTCCATTTTAAATCACCATCCTCCTAATGTAGATCCATAAGGTAATACAGTGTTTTTCCATTAATGATGGTTGATGAATTGAAATAATACCTCATACAAAGTGTGTTGATCTTTGTATGTTATAGTCTACTTCTAAATTCATCATTGTTATTTTTTGCAAAATTACTGTATAAAATAGAGACGATTGATCTCCTGTTGTAAAACCTAAAATAGAATACACATCATCAATATATTCATAATAACATCACTGGCTTGTTACATAGACATTAACCCTGAACTAACAATCCCTCACAAATTCCCAGGTCATCTCTGTCTTGTCCTGGCTATACTGCTGTAAGGCACTATCCCTGAACTAACAATCCCTCACAAATTCTGAGGCCATCTCTGTCTTATCCTGGCTATACTGCTGTATGACACTAACCCTGAACTAACAATCCCTCACAAATTCTGAGGCCATCTCTGTTAGTTTTGTCCTGGCTATATTGCTGTACGACACTAACCCTGAACTAACAATCCCTCACAAATTCTGAGGCCATCTCTGTTAGTTTTGTCCTGGCTATATTGCTGTACGACATTAACCCTGAACTAACAATCCCTCACAAATTCCGAGGTCATCTCTGTCTTGTCCTGGCTATACTGCTGTAAGGCACTATCCCTGAACTAACAATCCCTCACAAATTCTGAGGCCATCTCTCTCTTATCCTGGCTATACTGCTGTATGACACTAACCCTGAACTAACAATCCCTCACAAATTCTGAGGCCATCTCTGTTAGTTTTGTCCTGGCTATATTGCTGTACGACACTAACCCTGAACTAACAATCCTTCACAAATTCTGTGGCCAATCCTGTCAGTCTTTGTCCTGGCTATACTGCTGTACGACACTAACCCTGAACTAACAATCCCTCACAAATTCTGAACTAACAATCCCTCACTAATTTTGAGGCCATCTCTCTTAGCCATTGTACTGGCTGTATACTGCTGTAAATGAATTGCCCCATGACACATGTAGGGTCTTATTGCATAATGAATAAACAACATTATAAATACAACTTGTACAGATAATTTTAATAGGCACTGACCTTCACAAGTTTGACCTCTGCCTTACTTGTTCATGAAATATGTACAAGATTTACAGAGGACCTTTATCAGTCAATTGTTAGTACTGAAACATATGTGAAAAAATATGGAGTCTTTGGTGTTTGTTTATTAATCTATAACAAGCAGATCAGATGGAATTATATATCATCAGGGTGTATGAGGTATTTTGTATGTTGATGTAATTAGAATCTGTATATATAAGGCAAAAGCAGTCACGCCAACACACATGGAACTGGCACCACACAATGTGAATACAAAGCTGTGTGTAGATAGTTAACATACAATGTAGAAGATTTCAATAGCTACGTGTAAATGGTTAATACTACAGATTTCAACAGCTGTGTGTACCTGGTTAACAGCAGACTTACACAGCTGTGTGTACCTGGTTAACAGCAGACTTACACAGCTGTGTGTACATGGTTAACAGCAGACTTACACACTGTGTGTACCTGGTTAACAGCAGACTTACACAGCTGTGGGTACATGGTTGACAACAGACTTACACAGCTGTGGGTACATGGTTGACAGCAGACTTACACAGCTGTGGGTACATGGTTAACAGCAGACTTACACAGCTGTGGGTACATGGTTAACAGCAGACTTACACAGCTGTGGGTACATGGTTAACAGCAGACTTACACAGCTGTGGGTACATGGTTAACACAGCAGACTTACACAGCTGTGGGTACATGGTTAACACAGCAGACTTACACAGCTGTGGGTACATGGTTAACACAGCAGACTTACACAGCTGTGGGTACATGGTTAACACAGCAGACTTACACAGCTGTGGGTACATGGTTAACACAGTTTTCAATAGCTGTGTGTTCATGGTAGAGATACAAATTTTAGATTATATATTACATATCATTTGTTTTCTTTGTTTACTCAAAACCAATTGCATATCATTACATACAAACATATTTAACACAGCAGACAAAGGTAATGTTTTCCATCAATATCATACATTTTTGACAATATTCACAATTGTTTTATTACCTATTTAAGTGAATTAGTTCTAAACAGTATATATATAAGACAGGCATGGCTACCCACAAGGCAGTTATATCTCAGGCACTCGTATACATCTGTTAACTCTGCTAATTCTCGGCTAAATTCCGAATTTAAGTAAGTCCATTAAGTTACCATGAATAATGTCTATTTTGAGAACAAAACAGTGATATATGATTGACTCAAGTGAATTATAACTAGCAGTGAAAATAAAGCAGGCTACCATTTAGATGGAGTGTTAACATATGAATAAAGACTAGTTAATATATATAAAATACAATTTCAAGACGATATATGTTGAAATGTCAGACAGATGATCATATTTTACTGAAAAGTAACAAAGACAGATCTTATACCCAAAATCAGGCATAACTGTTACTGTGAGCTACAGATATGAAGTACAAAATGTTATCTACAAACTTACAAGCACTGAATTTAAAAATATTATGTTGATGGGACTCTGTTCAACAACACCAAGTATACAGCTCTATTGTGAACATCCTGGTAGAATGTTGTTCCCAACAGGAATAGAGTTATCTTACTATGACCTTCCTGCTGCCTCGAACAAGGGACTGAAGGCTCCAAATAAACATCTTTGGTTTGTTAGAATACTGTCAACCTCTCTATTCTGATGGCTTGTTGTCAGCCTAAGATTGAGCAGACAGGACCGAATAGTCAATATAGGTCACTGTGATCCACAGTGTGCGGCCTCAGTAGCTGTTCGTGTAATGTATGTGTTGTAGAGTATTATTGGTAGATATATTAGCCTATCAGCCGTGACCTTTCTCGCTCACAGCTTGCACAACATTGATTGGAGTATATACTGTAGTTACATAACATTGCTGTCACAATTAGACGACACTTCAACAGTGGAGCGCGGTCTTTACAGTCAGGCAGTGTGGCATCTGTAAAAGAAAGATAATCCACAGGTTTTATTCAAACAACAAACAGGAAATCATAAATAACGGAATCTCTCAACGAAGCTATTAGAATTTCCTCCATTTTCAATGATACTTCTAAACATTTTCCCCAGTGATCTTGTTGTTCTGTAATTAGTGAAGAAATCTATTTCCTATTTCCACAATTTATGTTTTATCACATTTTAGAATAGAACAGTATCTATCATATTTTAGAATAGAACAGTATCATATTATTGACCCACATTTCTTTGTAAAATGTATGGCGAAGAACAGTATTTTTGAAGTTTAACCTTGAGACAGCCAACCTATTATGATGGAGACTTCATTAAAACTTACCTCTCTGCAAGACTTGAATAGATATATCATCCTCGACCTTCTCTTCATTGTTGGTAGCAATACAGGTATACAACCCTGTGTCATCTAAGGTGAGGTTGGTGATACGTAGGTCCCCTCCCCTCACAAACACTCCAGGCCCATTCTGTAAGGAACGCCCAAGTTTCTCCCATGTCAAGGTTGGCTGTGGGTAGCCATACCCTCGACAGGTCAGGTAAAGCCGATCACCTTCCCTTGGTTTCTTGTTATGAACTTCGTCAATAGCTACTTTCAGTGATTCTGTTACAATTATAAAGAAGAATTAATTAGTAGGAATCCCTGACTAAACCCAGATTCAAATTTTTCATCCCTTTTCATCAAATAACTACCCGTTTATTACGGTATGTAATACCCATTACATATATTGTGTTATGATAAAACTTTTAATAAGACCTAGGAACTCTCTTGTGACATCATAATTTCATAGCATCATAGGAAATGTGTGATGGTTGCCACAGAAAGAGATATGGTGGGAGAGTACTGCAGATTTTGTATCAGTCTTGCGAGAGTATAGAAGGTATGTTATAAAGAGAATCTTACATTTGCTTCCTTTTCATTTGAGATTTCACCAATTTTGTATTTTACCTTACCAGAGGCTTGAAAAATTAAAAACGAAATTCCTATACTATACTTAGGTTCTACTCCAGACCTGTCTGTATCATCTGGAATCACCAAATTGTTACTTACCTCTAATTGCTAACATCATGATGCGCTGTGCAGGTGTTGACACTCCATTAGTTGCCATACACACATAGTCCCCGGTATCCTGGACATTCACTTGGGAGATGATCAGAGTGCCATTGTCAAACACAGCAAACCTACCCACTGACCGGACAGGGGTCCCTCCCTGGGTCCAGGACACAGAAGGTCGAGGTGTGCCATATGCCTGGCAGTGAAGAAAAGCGTTGCCTCCAGGCTTAACCACAATCTTGGCTGGTGTAGGGAAGATTCCTATTGCCACTGAAATGAAAGGTTTAATGGTCACAATGATGTACTGATCTGTATTACATCTGATGATTTTCAACAGTAAGCACATTTATACTGATCACAGAAATATTCACCAGTGTTGCTCACCTTCAACCTGTAATCGATATCTCTCTATATATGGCAGAACGTTGCCATTGGTGACACGACAAGCATACACCCCTGAGTCCTGGCTGGAGAGGCTGCGTATGAGGAGGGAACCATTCAGGTAGTTTACGTAACGTCTGTCATCAGACACCAGGAATCTGAGATAAGAAAACTAAGGGTTTATAAAGGTAGCTAGAAAACAACACCAAGACTTGTTTTATTGTCCTATTAGCAAATGACTCGACACACACACTAGTGCTGATTTCAAAATAATAATAAAGTAAAATATGTGTACACGATACAGAAAAAATGTTTTTGACAAAGCTGTTGGAAAAGTGACTATTACAAAATAAGTGATAACACTTACGCATCCCTGTACCAAGCTATGGTGCCTGTGTTTGTTCCCGGTTTGTAGCCAGCGCACGGCAGTAACACATCCTGTCCTGGCTGTTCTATGATGGAGGTATAGTCGCCATCAATAAGGTCGGTCTCCTCAGAGCCTGCACTGGGATCTACATACAATCAAGTCACACACAGTTAACATTAATAATCAACCCAAGTATCTCTAGTTTTAATTCTATAAACAAGATGCAGAGGTCAGTCTTGCCATTCATGTGAAGTAAGCTTTAAGTGGTAGATCTGATCACAGAGTGCTGTTCCAGTGAAGTGGGAGAAAAAGCTTTAGCATGCTAGGCCTGTTGATGTAAAGCTCTTACCCGATACAATGTCTTAAAACTCCAGCCTCAGATAGTCTCTCAGCTGATCATATACAATGTATTAAAACTCCAGCCTCAGATAGTCTCTCAGCTGATCACATACAATGTATTAAAACTCCAGCCTCAGATAGTCTCTCAGCTGATCACATACAATGTATTAAAACTCCAGCCTCAGACAGTCTCTCAGCTGATCACATACAATGTATTAAAACTCCAGCCTCAGATAGTCTCTCAGCTGATCACATACAATGTATTAAAACTCCAGCCTCAGATAGTCTCTCAGCTGATCACATACAATGTATTAAAACTCCAGCCTCAGACAGTCTCTCAGCTGATCACATACAATGTATTAAAACTCCAGCCTCAGATAGTCTCTCAGCTGATCACATACAATGTATTAAAACTCCAGTCTCTCAGATACAAGTATTAAAACTCTCTCAGCTGATCACATACAATGTATTAAAACTCCAGCCTCAGACAGTCTCTCAGCTGATCACATACAATGTATTAAAACTCCAGCCTCAGACAGTTATTAAAACTCCAGCCTCAGATAGTCTCTCAGCTGATCACATACAATGTATTAAAACTCCAGCCTCAGACAGTCTCTCAGCTGATCACATACAATGTATTAAAACTCCAGCCTCAGACAGTTATTAAAACTCCAGCCTCAGATAGTCTCTCAGCTGATCACATACAATGTATTAAAACTCCAGCCTCAGATAGTCTCTCAGCTGATCACATACAATGTATTAAAACTCCAGCCTCAGATAGTCTCTCAGCTGATCACATACAATGTCTTAAAACTCCAGCCTCAGACAGTCTCTCAGCTGATCACATACAATGTCTTAAAACTCCAGCCTCAGACAGTTATTAAAACTCCAGCCTCAGACAGTCTCTCAGCTGATCACATACAATGTATTAAAACTCCAGCCTCAGATAGTCTCTCAGCTGATCACATACAATGTATTAAAACTCCAGCCTCAGATAGTCTCTCAGCTGATCACATACAATGTATTAAAACTCCAGCCTCAGATAGTCTCTCAGCTGATCACATACAATGTCTTATAACTCCAGCCTCTGATAGTCTCTCAGCTGATCATATACAATGTCTTATAGCTCCAGCCTCAGATAGTCTCTCGACTGATCATATACAATGTCTTATAACGCCAGCCTCAGAAAGCCTCTCAGCTGATCACATACTACGTCTTAAAAATCCAGCTTCAGATAGTCTCTCAGCTGATCACATACAATGTCTTATAACTCCAGCCTCAGATAGCCTCTCAGCTGATCACATACTATGTCCTAGTTCAAACTCCAGCCTAAGATAGCTTCTGAGTCAGCTGACCACATACTATGTCCTAGTTCAAACTCCAGCCTAAGATCGCCTCTCAGCTGACCACATCCTACATAATGTATGTCTTGGTTTACACTCCAACCTAAGAGTCTCTCACCAGTGATAATGCCATTTCAGTGACTATTCAATACTTTCTACATGTTATTACCACACACAAGCTACAGCCATTTGACCGCAAATGTCTGAAAGCTGAAAATCTTTGAATATTTCTCTAGGCACAATAACCTGTTTTCTTATTTCATCATATCCTTGTTTGGTACTACCTGGTTTTTATATTCATACAGTGCAAGTCCAGTCTCTACAAGTTTCATAAAATGTTTGTTAAATACCTGGTACAGGTGAATGTACAGCAATCAGGTATATGTACTTGTGTGACTGATCAAGACATTTGTGACAGGAAACTTAGCAACACACAAACACACAAAAAATAATGAAAACAGCTATAACAGCTGCAAATAATTTGAATTTGATTCAACTTAATAAGTACAACCATAATTACATGTGTAATTTGATAGCTAATATGTATATATATATATATATCGCTTACATATATTTGAATACGAATCAATTCTGATAGAAGTATATTAGTTTTCTGAAAAGTAAACATCCTCTCGTTTGTACCATAATAACAGTAAAGACAAATGAAAAATAACAATAACATAAACTTGGGGGAGAACATGCAGAGAGAAAAGGTAATTCATGCACAGAAAAAAATTACACACAGTACAAACATCATCCTCTCCTTGTATGGCACAACAATTACTTAACACATAATATTAACTTCTTCCTACTCAACACTGACACATCACTTACACAGGTACTCAATACTGACACATCACTTACACAGGTACTCAATACTGACACATCACTTACACAGGTACTCAATACTGACACATCACCTACAAAGGTACTCAATACTGACACATCACTTACACAGGTACTCAATACTGTCACATCACCTACACAGGTACTCAATACCGTCGCATCACCTACACAGGTACTCAATACTGACACATCACCTACACAGGTATTCAACACGGAAACATCACCTACACAGGTACTCAATACTGACACATCACTTACACAGGTACTCAATACTGTCACATCACCTACACAGGTATTCAATACCGTCGCATCACCTACACAGGTACTCAATACTGACACATCACCTACACAGGTATTCAACACGGAAACATCACCTACACAGGTACTCAATACTGACATATCACCTACACAGGTACTCAATACTGACACATCACCTACACAGGTACTCAATACTGACACATCACCTACACAGGTACTCAATACTGTCACATCACCTACACAGGTACTCAATACTGACACATCACCTACACAGGTACTCAATACTGACACATCACCTACACAGGTACTCAATACTGACACATCGCCTCCACAGGTATTCAACACGGAAACATCACCTACACAGGTACTCAATACTGTCACATCACCTACACAGGTGCTCATTACTGTCACATCACCTACACAGGTACTCAAAACTGACACATCACCTACATAGATACTCAATACTGACACATCACCTACACAGGTACTCAATACTGTCACATCACCTACACAGGTACTCAATACTGACACATCACTTACACAGGTATTCAACACGGAAACATCACCTACACAGGTACTCAATATGGAAACATCACCTACACATATATTCAACTCTGACATGTTATCTACACAGACATTCAGTACTGGTACATCACTGAGGTACTTAATACCATCACATTATCTACACAGGAATACTCAATAGTGATACAATACCTATGCAGTTATTTAGTACTGACACATCACCTACACAGGTACTCAATGTTGACAATTTACCTTCAGATATCTAATACTGACACACTTTTGTGCACACAACACATGTGACTGTACCTCTACAGTTGCTGAAGTAGCTGTCGGCAGCTGGGAGGACTCCATCCGGACAACACCCAAAACGTGATAAGCGGCAGTTCCCGCGACCCCTGTCAGGTCGAGGGGTCACTGGAGGTCGAGTGACTGGAGGCATGCAATAGGGTTAGAAATATTGGTTAATAGTTAAAAAAAGGAAATAAACAAAACTAGAAAGGAAAAACAGAATTAATACAATTTGGAAAAAACCATAACCAAGGTGAATGTTAAAACTGAACATCTAACTCCATTCCATGTTGTTTTATCAGAGAAGTACCTTCAATCTGCCTAGATCTAGAATTGACAGACACATGCACGTGAGAGGTAGAGGAGGCAGACGCAGGCTGCCAGATCATCACACCTGACAGAGTTTGTTCAGTTGCACTGTCATTAAGTGTGGCTTGTAGGGGAGGTGAGATGAGGCTGGTAGAGGGACATGCAGAAGGGAGGCAGTTATGTTCCAGTTCTATCTTTTAACTGTACTTGGATTGCTTCGCTTGGTTAAAGCTACAGTCTACAATCATTGTTAGTGAATGGTCCATTGTTACACTATATTAATGTAGGCAATACATGAGTTGTTACTTAAACATTGTGGCATGGTATGTGTAAAGATTACTTAGTGCTGTTTTTTGGTAATGAAAATTCAAACAAATATACAGGAATATTTTGCTTCGCTATGAGTTGTATATTACCTTCTTTATATCCCTACTACCCGGGGTAATTTTTGTGTGTAAAGGTGATGAAAATAGATGAAATACCTGCTCTGCATTATCATAATTGTAATGAACTCGTTCTTTTCATTTAATACTTTAAAATTTTGTTGCTGGAATGAATGAATTTATGATAACATTTGGGATGTACTGTAATTATCACTCATTTTTACCACCGGTTATATGACCTACATTTATGATACATTGTCACTTGTCATGCTAAAGGTAGACGTACCTGTATACATCTGTAGGTAATCATACAAAACATGCTCTCGTACCATCATGATAGCTGTTTATCAACTGTCATAGGAAATTCTCAAAATCCAGAAATAAACGATCAACCATCACAGATTTATCAACAGATATGACAGAAATGTCCTAGCATGCAGATAAATGGATACAAGAATACTACCACATTTTAGGTGAATACTAAGGATTGAGAATTAAACCTAATAAGAATTGAATGAAACATCTGTAAGTTCCTAAGTAATTAATAGAACCTGTTGAAACTCAATGATCTCTGTATTCATGATAGTAAGATTTACACTTCAACAATATTTCACTTTCTTGTATACTGGGAGCTGTAATTTTCACTATAAAAAAGGGGAACCACCATGTTCACCAAAATGTACTTTTGATTTACAACAAGACAAGGTATTGCCAGCAATCAACACTTTCCTGGTCAAATTTAGCTATCACATCTTTTCAAAAAAAGATCTAGAAAAAGAAGCCTTGATTGCCTAGGTAAGAATCAAGTACGTTACCATTGTGCCATACAAGCATCCTTAACATTGCAATGAGTTTAGGGTATGAAGAACAAATTCTGACTTGAGGTCAGATAATGAGCTCGTAACTGGACAATGAAAATAATCTAACGAGTAATTATACTGAACAGTAATGGATGGGCGGACTTATTATCAGGCATGGGCTTATTGTCCAATAAATAAAGATTATTCCAGGAGGAACTGCTCTTTAATAATAGTCAGTTGTAGGTGCAGGAGTACATGGGTTTTGTCCCAGACCGATAGAGAACTAGAAATGTGACCAATCACCTATTGTTGTTGTTACAGTCCAGTGTTTATGTGAGATATGTGTACAACAGATATAATCATCCTAGTAACTTACCCACTGGCCTACGTCGCTCCACACAGATATTCTGACACTCTGCCTCATCTCCGAAGTTGTTGGCATTACCATCACAGCCCCCGTACCAGAACCTCATACACCTCTGGTCTTCATTATTGTAGTACCACCTGACAGTGTAGTTACTGCATCTTCCTCGTTCCTTGTCAAGGTCACAGATGTCATACTCTGGTGGTAAAAATAGCTTCAAAGTCAATGGTCTATCACAAAATATACACAATATCAATGCTGGTAAAGCTATGATTTGAAGTCACAGTTAAATTTGTTAGCCTCACATCATGTACACACAATGTCCTGCAATGTCTATATTAATAATCAGCAATCTCACACCCCATTTTGGGACTGGGGCCCGAGGCCCTTAGAATTGGGAAAAATAGTGGCTTTTTCCTTTGAATTGGGAAAACTTGGGGTCCAAATTGGGAAAAAAAGATACTATTTTGCATTGGGAATCTGGCAGATCGAGAGCCCTGATAATGATGACCAAGTTTTAAACAGATCCATTTTCATAGATAAGGTAGACAAAGTTACCATCTTACCATCAATCACATTGGTGTCTGGATCCGGAGTGCTGTAAGCTGGTCTGGGAGTGTACACAGGGTCTGGCCTGGAGGTAGTGACAGGAGCATAAGTTGGCTGTGCTGTGACTGGGGCATAAGTTGGATGTGGCCGAGCTGTGACCACTTCTACACTGCATCTCTGCTTACACTCTTCCTCAGTGTTGAAGCGGTTCCCATTGCCATCACAGCCACCGTACCAGAAGCGACCACATACCCTTTCATCTCGATTGTAGAACCACTGCACAGTATAGTCCTGGCAAGGACCTCTCTCGTTGTCCATGGAACAAACATCATCTAAAGGAAAAAGTAATAATCATTAATATCACTGGTGTCTAGACTGAGATCTTAATAATCGTTCACAAAATATATCAGACAAGGGAGGAAAATGCAACAGCAAGCCAGGACTTAATTCCACCAGAGCCTGGAACCAATTCTGTGTCTCCATATACTTACCACTGTGTGGACTTATAGTGACATAAGATTGTCTCCCTTTACTTAACACTGTGTGGACTTGTAGTTACATAAGACTGTCTCTCAATACTTAACACTGTGTGGACTTGTAGTTACATAAGACTGTCTCTCAATACTTACCACTCTGTGGACTTGTAGTGACATAAGATTGTCTCCCTTTACTTAACACTGTGTGGACTTGTAGTGACATAAGATTGTCTCCCAATACTTAACATAAGTGACATAAGATTGTCTCCCAATACTTAACACTGTGTGGACTTGTAGTGACATAAGATTGTCTCCCTTTACTTAACACTGTGTGGACTTGTAGTGACATAAGATTGTCTCCCAATACTTAACACTGTGTGGACTTGTAGTGACATAAGATTGTCTCCCAATACTTAACACTGTGTGGACTTGTAGTGACATAAGATTGTCTCCCTTTACTTAACACTGTGTGGACTTGCAGTGACATAAGATTGTCTCCCTTTACTTAACACTGTGTGGACTTGTAATGACATAAGATTGTCTCCCTTTACTTAACACTGTGTGGACTTGTAGTGACATAAGACTGTCTCCCAATACTTAACACTGTGTGGACTTGCAGTGACATAAGATTGTCTCCCAATACTTAACACTGTGTGGACTTGTAGTGACATAAGATTGTCTCCCTTTACTTACCACTGTGTGGACTTGTAATGACATAAGATTGTCTCCCTTTACTTAACACTGTGTGGACTTGCAGTGACATAAGACTGTCTCCCAATACTTACCACTGTGTGGACTTGCAGTTGCATAGGAACCTCCACATTTGCTAACACAAGCTACACGGGATTCAAAGTTGTTAGCATTTCCACCACAGCCACCATAGTCTAGACTGACACAAGCATCCTGGGATACATCATAGTAGTAACGCTGTACACTCTGAACACAGTTACCCTTGTCTGGTTGTAGCATACACACAGCTGTGGATAGACATTGGTAAGTGTACTGTTGAGCATGAGCATCCCATTGTAATGGACACATCTTGCTATATTGAGTTCAACATAATGGACATAAATATTTTCCTTATAGAGTTATACATCGTGGATGCTAGTCAAAACTATGAAAGATATATCGTCACTGGAACAGTTTTAACATCACTGAAATGATCATCATAAGTTCATATCAAACTGATTATTCCTATATTTCACAGACTAAGATATGATATAATTCCCTATACAAGGACAATCTATAGAGTGGTGCTATACTGTTGTCTGTTTCTGCCTGTGAAACTTACCCTCACGGTTACAGGATGCTTCGCATACATCTCGTGAAATGAATCGGTTTTTATTGCCCCCACATCCTCCATACAAAAACTCTTTACAGCGGCCTTCTATATGACTGTAGTACCAGGCAGGGATACTGGCACGGCACGGTCCTGTATCCATCTTTAGGCCACAGTAATCTATGATGTATAAAATGACCCTTCATTACACTGATATTGTCTCTGTCTCTTTGTAAACTTTGTAAACCCCTGTTTATATTGAATTTGGTGACCAGTCATTGCACTTAACTTGGTAACATTCCCTTTTACTGAACATGGTAACCCATCATTACACTGAGCATGGTGACCCATCTTTACACTGAGCATGGTGACCCATCTTTACACTGAGCATGGTAACCCATCATTACACTGAGCATGGTAACCCATCATTACACTGAGCATGGTGACCCATCTTTACAATGAGCATGGTGACCCATCTTTACACTGAACATGGTAACCCATCATTACACTGAGCATGGTAACCCATCATTACACTGAGCATGGTGACCCATCTTTACAATGAGCATGGTGACCCATCTTTACACTGAGCATGGTGACCCATCATTACACTGAGCAAGGTGACCCATCTTTACACTGGTAATAAACACAAAACTGGCAATCATGGTAATATTTCTCCTATTGGTATACTGACTGCCATGAAGTTGGGATTTCCCAGAGTTATCCCCCTTTGAGTGATGGTCATATTTATCCAAAGTATCCTCCCTTAAGGGAAGATTTGCCCAAGTTACTTCTCATTGTCTTCTGACCATGATGGTAAGATTAAGATGAAAATTCTTTCAAGGTATTTTGCCAAAGACGATAAATTTTTCTCCTTTAAATTATGACAATGACAGTTTGATAAAGATGAGTCATCCCCTTTGTATCATGAAAATGAAAGCTTGAACAACTAGTTATCCCCCTTTGTATATTGAAACGTAACTTTACCTGAGCTGTCTGTTTCGACCTCCCCTGATCCATCAACAGTGTCCTCTGCACACTTCTCCTGACAGGTTTCTATATTTTCGAAATTGTTCTGATTGCCACTACATCCACCATAGATAAACTGCTCACAGGATCCCGTGTTAGAGTTGAAGAAGTAACGCCTCATATAAGCAAAACATGGGCCACTTTCCTTTGGCAGAGCACAGATTTCTAGAATCAAAGATTTCAATTTATATAACCAAATTGTTTTCATTTCAGAAGGTCAGTTGCACTTTTTCAGTAATAAAACCATTTTTCTTCAAAAAGACAAATTTGAATAAAAAACAATGATTGCCTATTACCAGAAGTAAATATGGGCTGTACCTTTCTGTGACATGGGACGTGTTACTGATCCACCAGTAATACACTTGCGCTGACAAGCTTCTTGAGAGACAAAATTGTTAGAGTTTCCTCCACATCCCCCGTAGATAAATTCCTGACAAGTTGCACTCACACGGTTGTAACGGTAACGCCGGATGTAAGCATTACATTGTATAGGGGAGTTGGACTCACCACTTCCACATACATCTGTAATAACAAGTTAGGTATAAGGTTTAACAGTACAAAACTGCAATGACATACTGTGAGGCTTGAACATCTTACATAGTACTGAGTGGTGTGATTCTACAATAGTAAAAGGCTTGGTTTGTTTCTTTTGATCATAGAGTACATATTCATATGGTAATTAATCAATGCTAACGAATATGATGTCATTATCCTGCAATAAGCCTGATTTAAGTATGTAAGAGTTGGGCCCTAAACTTATTGCAGGATAAAAGCATTCAAATTTGGTATAAGCAGGGCATTTGGTGTCGAGTGTTCTGTTAACACTTACGCTCTCGACTACAGGTGTTTTCACATTCCTCCTTTGAGGCAAAATTGTTTTCATTTTGTCCACAGCCTCCATACACAAACTGTTTACAGAATCCCTCATTGAAATCGTAATACCATCTGGTTTCTGCTCCAGAACAGGGTCCAGTTTCATACGAAAGAAGACAGACATCTTTTTCTGTGAAAAAGATTTGACATTTAATAAATATATGTTTTTTTTAACCTCTTTGGGGTCAAGATTTCTGACCCGATTGCTAAGTTATCATAAACCAAAGTTTATATATTTATGCAGCAAGTGTTTATACTTCGGCAACAAACACAGTTTTTCTTTCTTTTTTTTTGTCAGCAAGTGTTCATACTTAGCAATGAATGAAAAGTTTTTTACAGCAAGTGTTCATACTTAGCAATGAATGAAAAGTTTTTTACAGCAAGTGTTCATACTTTGCAATGAATGAAAAGTTTTTTACAGCAAGTGTTCATACTTTGCAATGAATGAAAAGTTTTTTACAGCAAGTGTTCATACTTTGCAATGAATGAAAAGTTTTTTACAGCAAATGTTCATACTTTGCAATGAATGAAAAGTTTTTTACAGCAAGTGTTCATACTTTGCAATGAATGAAAAGTTTTTTACAGCAAGTGTTCATACTTTGCAATGAATGAAAAGTTTTTTACAGCAAGTGTTCATACTTTGCAATGAATGAAAAGTTTTTCACAGCAAGTGTTCATACTTAGCAATGAATGAAAAGTTTTTCACAGCAAGTGTTCATACTTAGCAATGAATGAAAAGTTTTTCACAGCAAGTGTTCATACTTTGCAATGAATGAAAAGTTTTTTACAGCAAGTGTTCATACTTTGCAATGAATGAAAAGTTTTTTACAGCAAGTGTTCATACTTTGCAATGAATGAAAAGTTTTTTACAGCAAGTGTTCATACTTTGCAATGAATGAAAAGTTTTTTACAGCAAGTGTTCATACTTTGCAATGAATGAAAAGTTTTTACAGCAAGTGTTCAAACTTTGCAATGAATGAAAAGTTTTTCACAGCAAGTGTTCATACTTAGCAATGAATGAAAAGTTTTTCACAGCAAGTGTTCATACTTAGCAATGAATGAAAAGTTTTTTACAGCAAGCGTTCATACTTTGCAATAAACAGAAAGTTTTTTACAGCAAGTGTTCATACTTTGCAATGAATGAAAAGTTTTTCACAGCAGTGTTTATACTTTGCAATGAATGAAAAGTTTTTCACAGCAAGTGTTCATACTTAGCAATGAATGAAAAGTTTTTTTACAGCAAGTGTTCAAACTTTGCAATGAATGAAAAGTTTTTTACAGCAAGTGTTCATACTTTGCAATGAATGAAAAGTTTTTTTACAGCAAGTGTTCAAACTTTGCAATGAATGAAAAGTTTTTTACACCAAATGTTCATACTTTGCAATGAATGAAAAGTTTTTTACAGCAAGTGTTCATACTTTGCAATGAATGAAAAGTTTTTACAGCAAGTGTTCAAACTTTGCAATGAATGAAAAGTTTTTCACAGCAAGTGTTCATACTTAGCAATGAATGAAAAGTTTTTCACAGCAAGTGTTCATACTTAGCAATGAATGAAAAGTTTTTTACAGCAAGCGTTCATACTTTGCAATAAACAGAAAGTTTTTTACAGCAAGTGTTCATACTTTGCAATGAATGAAAAGTTTTTCACAGCAGTGTTTATACTTTGCAATGAATGAAAAGTTTTTCACAGCAACATACTTAGCAATGAATGAAAATTTTTTTTGCAAGTGTTCAAACTTTGCAATGAATGAAAAGTTTTTTACAGCAAGTGTTCATACTTTGCAATGAATGAAAAGTTTTTTTACAGCAAGTGTTCAAACTTTGCAATGAATGAAAAGTTTTTTACACCAAATGTTCATACTTTGCAATGAACAAAAGTTTCTGATTATCCCATTTGTACAATACAGGTATACTGTTGTCACCAGAAAGACGCAAGTTTAAACATCTGTCAGTTACATGTCTAGTGTTTTACCTATGAAGCAACACTAAAAGTAAAACAAGTCCAAGCAAGATCAGAGAACCTGAATAGAATAGATCTCACAATATGTATAGTGTCGATGTCTGACAGTTTCTTCCTCAATGGAAATAGTCACTGTGAATGCAGAGGTAAAAAATCATATACAAAGCTGTGTAAGCATAACGTACCTTCCTGTGGCACTACAGGGGCATCTGTTACTGATGGAATCACATTAGGAGCACAACGCTGCACACATTTCTCACGGGTGGCAAAATTGTTCTCGTTTCCATCACATCCTCCATAATTAAATTGTGTACACTCGCGTGTCCTGCTGTTGTAGTAAAACCGTGGGTAGTTTCCACGACATGGTCCAATTTCCATGGGCTGTTGGCAGGTGTCTGTAATTCAGAACAACACTACGTCACAAAGTTGTTAAGCAATGATTTACAACTACTTGATATAAACCCTGTAAACTAACCAGACTACAATGTTCATTATTATTAGGAAAGCATCAACTTTTATGGGCAATTTGAACTCTAAGAAAGATCAGTAATGGCAACTGTTATCTGCCTGACCATGTAAGGACCGTGGAATGACCCTGTAAACCCTTAATCATTCACAGGATGTACCCAACCAGCAACTTTTATCCTGAAGACCAATTTCAACCAAACAATACATTACCTGGAACAAACTGAAACTAACTTGCCACTTCCAAAATGCACCGAGTCCTACAATGTTTTCATCTAGCCTCTGATGTGATGACATGGGAAGTGTTAAGTATATAAAAATTGATAAGATGTAAGTCAAAGTCATTTAAACCTGTTACAATTGTTTATATTATAATAATGTTGTCTACATCTAGGCATGGTGACCATGATAAGTCCAATATGGAAATCTGCCTGATGTTTTTTGAAGGGACAAGAGATGGACACTTGGACAGATAGACAGACAATGTCATGGTTTCTCATGTTTCTGATTTACATCATACTCTTTGACATGATTAAGACAGGATGATACACAAATATTTTACCAAGTTCCTCCACTATAATCTCTTCACAAGTCTGTCGACACATATCAATAGTAGCAAAGTTGTTGGCGTTCCCCTGACAGCCTCCGTATCCGAATCGTTCACATCGCTCAGTCTCCTGGTTGAAGTAAAACCTTGGTACAAGTGCTCGACATGGTCCAACATCTTTGGGAAGTTTACAAGGCAAGTTAACTGAAAGCAGCAATATAAAATACAATACAATACAAGTCTTTTGTTTTGTTTATATAATGTCATCCCTTAAATCCTTGCTTCAAAATCTATTTCACACTAAAAAAAAAGATTATTGATATTGTCATTATCTAACTTTCTTATTATGGAAGGTTTTCCCTTACTGTTACAAAAATGTTAATACTACTGTCTCTTTCATCAATACTTTGTGTGAAATATTTCCCAGTGATGATTTCATCACTGACCTGTTGTAGTATGGCCATCCTAAATTTCATCACCCAAGACATATCTTTTGTTATTTGTGGGTTTTTTCTTAATTAACAAGGGTGATTAGAGAAAAAATTTAATTTAAAAAAGTTAATTAGTACGAAAATGCTTCACTTTACCATGGCCCAGCAACTCCCTAAATAATGGTGAAGTTAACTACGGTTCATTTAACAATTATAGTATTTTGACCCCGGTTCATTTCCCCATGCTTCACAATAGCATGCTACACCATTACTCTGTATATACACAGTACGGTAAGTCTGAGTGTACAAACAGTGCGGTAAGTCTGAGTGTACAAACAGTGCGGTAAGTCTGAGTGTACAAACAGTCTGGTAAGTCTGAGTGTACAAACTGTCTGGTAAGTCGGAGTGTACAAACAGTGCGGTAAGTCTAAGTGTAAAAACTGTCTGGTAAGTCTGAGTGTACAAACTGTGCGGTAAGTCTGAGTGTACAAACAGTCTGGTAAGTCTGAGTGTACAAACAGTGCGGTAAGTCTGAGTGTACAAACAGTGCGGTAAGTCTGAGTGTACAAACTGTCTGGTAAGTCTGAGTGTACAAACAGTCTGGTAAGTCGGAGTGTACAAACAGTCTGGTAAGTCGGAGTGTACAAACTGTCTTGTCTGGATTCTTGGGCTGGGATGTTTTTCTAGAATAACCCTAAACAAAACCTGGAGTCTTGGGCTGGGATATTTTCTAGAATAACCCTTAACAAAACCTGGAGTCTTGGGCTGGGATGTTTTCTAGAATAACCCTTAACAAAACCTGGAGTCTTGGGCTGGGATGTTTTTCTAGAATAACCCTAAACTAAACCTGGAGTCTTGGGTTGGATAAATGTTTTTCTAGAATAGTACTTAGTCTGACCATACATACTGTCTTGAGTTTTTTCTACACATGTTTTTGTGCATTCCTCCTCATTGTCAAACTGGTTTCCATTTCCTTGACATCCTCCATACCAGAATCTCTCACATCTCTTTGAGTCAGAGTTATGGAACCATTTCACAACATAATCTGAGCAGGGGCCTCTCTCGCTAGGTTTGTTACACGAATCTACAATAAACAATGATTTCATGAAACTATTCATGCCCTCCTCTTACAAACATAACAATACATATTTAACCTAGTTTTAATTATTTCATCTTTTGTCTAGGAATGCTGGAATTTGCATTTTTGTTTGTTTTATCAAATTTTCCCGTTTGGGGCCCTGTCCACAGGTCCCTAGGAGTCAAATCAACTTTCTGAGAAAAGTGTACCTGCTGAGAAAAATTTAGTGGGAACAAGGGTATCAGAGAATATTATACATCCTGAGGTAGGTTTAGTGGGAATAAGGGTATCAGAGAATATTATACATCCTGAGGTAGGTTTAGTGGGAATAAGGGTATCAGAGAATATTATACATCCTGAGGTAGGTTTAGTGGGAATAAGGCTATCAGAGAATTGTATACATCCTGAGGTAGGTTTAGTGGGAATAAGGCTATCAGAGAATTGTATACATCCTGAGGTAGGTTTAGTGGGAAATGTATCAGAGAATTTATACATCCTGAGGTAGGTCTTAGTGGGAGGGTACACACATAACATACCTGAGGTAGGTTTCTCCAATAGCCAGAGAATTGTATACATATAGGAAATATATTTAACTATAAGGCTAAGAGAGTATTATACAGAATAGGTAGGATTAGTAAAAGGGATAACATTTCTTTTACATCCTCAAAATAGGATACACATAACTGAATCCACGATGTACTCAGTAGATCATCCTACAGTCCTGAGGTACAAAGTTTATGGGAATAAATATCAGAGAATACATATAATCCTGAGTAGGTTTAGTAGGATATCAGAGAATTGTATACATCCTGAGGTAGGTTTAGTGGGAATGAAGGCTATCAGAGATGGTTTACATCCTGAATAGGTTTATCAAAATAAGGGTATCAGATGAATTGTAACAAATCCTGAGGTAGGTTTCAAAATAAGGGTATCAAGAATATTATACACCTGAGGTAGGTTTAGTGGGAATAAGGGTATTCAGAGAATATTATACAACCTATAGGTTTTGGGAACAAGGGTTTCAGAAAGAATATCATCTCTGAGGTAGGTTTAGTTTAAGGGTATCAGAGAATTGTATACATCCTGAGGTAGGTTTAGTGGGAATAAGGCTATCAGAGAATTGTATACATCCTGAGGTAGGTTTAGTGGGAATAAGGGTATCAGAGAATATTATACATCCTGAGGTAGGTTTAGTGGGAATAAGGGTATCAGAGAATTGTATACATCCTGAGGTAGGTTTAGTGGGAACAAGACATATGTCACAAAAATTATCATTATCAAGTAAAAAAATATGTTGTACCTGACAATGCAAATGAAATGAGCCACACAAAAAAAAGGTACCTCCTGAGGGAATTTCAACATTTTCAGCATCTCTATCACAGCCTTCATTATTTGGTCCACTGGCAGGAGTTCCGTCAGGGCAGCAGCCATGGACGTTCTCACGACAGTCATTGTCCGTGTCCATGTCTCCAGAGCCTTCATCCACGCTGTCGCAACCTTCTTCATTGGGACCTACACACATAACACTACCAATGAATTCTCCAATAGCCACAACTAGTACACAATATAGAAATATATTTAACTATAATGAAGAGAGTATTGTAAGAATATACTGATTACTAAAAAGATAACATTTCTTTTATCAATCTCAAAATAGACGATACACATAACTGTCAAATCCACGATGACTACCTGTAGATCATTTCCTACAGTCCCTAAATATACAAAGCACTATTACAAATGTACAGGACTGGTGAAACCTACATATGAAGACTGAGAATGGTCTATCCAGTACTTCAGTGAAAATAGCGATAACAAAAATGGACGGCCTAGAAAAGACTGTCTAGGCGATATGAACAGCTCACCATCTGATGGTTTCACATGTCTAATAGTGTCTCATATCAAAATATCTGTATCAATGCCTTAACAAACACAGAGGTGGTCAAAATGTGACTGAAGAATGTTACACTTTACCTGTAGCTGCTGTAACTTGATCCTCACAGCATCCAAATTCACTCCTCTACAAGAAACCAGAATCAAAACCTATATACTTTCCAACAGTTTGAGAAACAATATCATCTCTGTGACAGGTTTATGACTTTAGCGTAACTATATAAACTCTGTTACAGGAATATGACTGTAGAGAATCAATATCATCTCTGTTACAGGAATATGGCTGTAGAGAAACAATATCATCTCTGTTACAGGAATATGACTGTAGAGAATCAATATCATCTCTGTTACAGGAATATGACTGTAGAGAATCAATATCATCTCTGTTACAGGAATATGACTGTAGAGAAACAATATCATCTCTGTTACAGGAATATGGCTGTAGAGAAACAATATCATCTCTGTTACAGGAATATGACTGTAGAGAAACAATATCATCTCTGTTACAGGAAATGACTGTAGAGAAACAATATCATCTCTGTTACAGGAATATGGCTGTAGAGAAACAATATCATCTGTTACAGGAATATGGCTGTAGAGAAACAATATCACCTGTTACAGGAATATGACTGTAGAGAATCAATATCATCTCTGTTACAGGAATATGGCTGTAGAGAAACAATATCATCTCTGTTACAGGAATATGGCTGTAGAGAAACTATATAATCTCTGTTACAGGAATATGACTGTAGAGAAACAATATCATCTCTGTTACAGGAATATGGCTGTAGAGAAACAATATCATCTGTTACAGGAATATGGCTGTAGAGAAACAATATCATCTGTTACAGGAATATGACTGTAGAGAAACTATATCATCTCTGTTACAGGAATATGGCTGTAGAGAAACAATATCATCTGTTACAGGAATATGACTGTAGAGAAACTATATCATCTCTGTTACAGGAATATGGCTGTAGAGAAACAATATCATCTGTTACAGGTATATGACTGTAGAGAAACAATATCATCTGTTACAGGAATATGACTGTAGAGAAACAATATCATCTGTTACAGGAATATGACTCTAGAGAAACAATATCATCTGTTACAGGAATATGACTGTAGAGAAACAATATCATCTCTGTTACAGGAATATGACTGTAGAGAAACTATATCATCTCTGTTACAGGAATATGGCTGTAGAGAAACAATATCATCTGTTACAGGAATATGGCTGTAGAGAAACAATATCATCTGTTACAGGAATATGACTGTAGAGAAACTATATCATCTCTGTTACAGGAATATGGCTGTAGAGAAACAATATCATCTGTTACAGGAATATGACTGTAGAGAAACAATATCATCTCTGTTACAGGAATATGGCTGTAGAGAAACTATATAATCTCTGTTACAGGAATATGATAATCATCTGTTACAGGAATATGACTGTAGAGAATCAATATCATCTCTGTTACAGGAATATGGCTGTAGAGAAACAATATCATCTGTTACAGGAATATGACTGTAGAGAAACAATATCATCTGTTACAGGAATATGACTGTAGAGAAACTATATCATCTCTGTTACAGGAATATGGCTGTAGAGAAACAATATCATCTGTTACAGGAATATGACTGTAGAGAAACAATATCATCTGTTACAGGTATATGACTGTAGAGAAACAATATCATCTGTTACAGGAATATGACTGTAGAGAAACAATATCATCTGTTACAGGTATATGACTGTAGAGAAACAATATCATCTGTTACAGGAATATGACTGTAGAGAAACAATATCATCTGTTACAGGTATATGACTGTAGAGAAACAATATCATCTGTTACAGGTATATGACTGTAGAGAAACAATATCATCTGTTACAGGAATATGACTGTAGAGAAACAATATCATCTGTTACAGGAATATGACTGTAGAGAAACAATATCATCTGTTACAGGAATATGACTGTAGAGAAACAATATTATCTCTGTTACAGGAATATGGCTGTAGAGAAACAATATCATCTCTGTTACAGGAATATGACTGTAGTGAAACAATATCATCTCTGTTACAGGAATATGGCTGTAGAGAAACTATATAATCTCTGTTACAGGAATATGGCTGTAGAGAAACAATATAATCTGTTACAGGAATATGGCTGTAGAGAAACAATATCATCTCTGTTACAGGAATATGGCAGTAGAGAAGCAATATCATCTCTGTTACAGGAATATGACTGTAATTATACCAGTTTAAATAAAGTAGACTTACCACACAGTGATCAGGACAGCCGTAGTAGTCTGGACCATCAGCAGGTGTTAGCCCATCTCTACAACAGCCATGCTGGGAGAATTTACATAGACGTCTATCTTCATCTGCAACTGTAAAACAGAGGAAAACATGTCAAATCTGACCCCTACAGCATTAAAATTCTTATCTCTACAGTTTGACAAATATGACCTCCCGAGCAAATACCAGATTTTAATTCTACAGGCTGGCAGCTTTTATCTCAATAGTGTTAGATTTTACTCCTGCAGTGTGTCAGATTTTACCCCTGCAGTGTGTCAGATTTTTACCCTTTGGTGTCTCAGACAAGAGACCTTTGGTGTCTCAGACTAGAGACCTTTGGTGTCTCAGACTAGACCCCTGCAGTTTGGCATACTGACCTCTTTAGTATAATAAACTTCATCTCTTGGTATGTCAGATAAGACCGCTAGGTGATTTTAAAATTATCTTTACGATCAATTGCAACATTTAAAACTAAAATAACTGGAGTTACTTTCCTTCACCTGTGGGGTAACATTAAGACCTCAAAGAAACAAGTCATGTTTGTTCTGGAAAGATATATATTCACTTGAGTAGAGTGCTCTTTGTTGTTTAGTGTCCTATTCATTACATGCTATTTTGAGAATATTGGTTCCTGGAGGAAATAATTGTTCTTTATTTGGAAATAAAACAAGCAGGTGTAAAGGACTACAGGCAAGGATAAAGGGCTAGAAGACACTAACCTTTGCCCCCACAACGTTCCACACACTCCTCCCGAGTTCTGAATCGGTTAGCATTGCCATTACATCCTCCATAGATAAACTGCTCACATGATCCTGTGGCAGTATTGAAGAAGTAGCGCCTGTGAGCAGCACGACATCTACCCGTCACCGAGGGCAATGCACACACGTCTGTAATGTTATGTTTTAATATTTTTACAGCGACATTAAAATGTAAAGCATGCTCAACATTGGCAATCAGGATCACCATTGTTTACTTTAAGTAAATAGTGTTTTTTCTCTGGTGTGTAATTGTTCTGTTTATCATATAAATAGTGTGTTTTTTCTCTGGTGTGTAATTGTTCTGTTTATCATATAAATAGCGTGTTTTTTCTCTGGTGTGTAATTGTTCTGTTTATCATATAAATAGTGTTTTTTCTCTGGTGTGTAATTGTTCTGTTTATCATATAAATAGTGTTTTTTCTCTGATGCGTAATTGTTCTGTTTATCATATAAATAGCGTGTTTTTTCTCTGGTGTGTAATTGTTCTGTTTATCATATAAATAGCGTGTTTTTTCTCTGGTGTGTAATTGTTCTGTTTATCATATAAATAGCGTGTTTTTTCTCTGGTGTGTAATTGTTCTGTTTATCATATAAATAGCGTGTTTTTTCTCTGGTGTGTAATTGTTCTGTTTATCATATAAATAGCGTGTTTTTTCTCTGGTGTGTAATTGTTCTGTTTATCATATAAATAGCGTGTTTTTTCTCTGGTGTGTAATTGTTCTGTTTATCATATAAATAGCGTGTTTTTTCTCTGGTGTGTAATTGTTCTGTTTATCATATAAATAGCGTGTTTTTTCTCTGCTGTGTAATTGTTCTGTTTATCATATAAATAGTGTGTTTTTTCTCTGGTGTGTAATTGTTCTGTTTATCATATAAATAGTGTGTTTTTTTCTCTGGTGTGTAATTGTTCTGTTTATCATTTAAATAGCGTGTTTTTTCTCTGATGTGTAATTGTTCTGTTTATCATATAAATAGTGTGTTTTTTCTCTGGTGTGTAATTGTTCTGTTTATCATTTAAATAGCGTGTTTTTTCTCTGATGTGTAATTGTTCTGTTTATCATATAAATAGTGTGTTTTTTCTCTGGTGTGTAATTGTTCTGTTTATCATATAAATAGTGTGTTTTTTTCTCTGGTGTGTAATTGTTCTGTTTATCATATAAATAGTGTGTTTTTTCTCTGGTGTGTAATAACCTGTTGTCATGTATCATTAGTGGTGTACAAAAATTTTAACTCTTTGACTTAACTACTCCTGGATTTTGCACCACAGAGTAAAAGAGACATGTCCTTACCTTCTACCTTTACAGGTGTTTTACATGTCTGTAAACATTCCGCCTCAGTTTCAAAGTTATTTCCATTGCTGTCGCAGCCTCCATACCAGAAACGTTTACATCGGGCCTCGTCTGTGTTGTAGTTCCACCGTACAACATAGTTGGAGCAGCTTCCTCTAAATGCTTCTCGCTCGCACAATGGACTGGTAACAGCCTTCACCTCTGGCAACACAAGAGTTACTGGTTACAGAGCAGTCATCTGATGAAGCTGATTGTGGAATCTCCCAATATTATACAATATGTGAAGGGATGTGACAGCTGGAACAATACTTGTATCATACATGACAGAACTTCGTATAGCTGATAATTTTCACAGGTCAAAATTTTCATGAATGAATTATATTTTAATAAGTAAAAATTTTGTGATCTGGATGGAAAAGGACATGTTATGCAACTGTGTGTTATTATGCCAAGGATTAAATTTTTGTAGTCATACTAATGTACCGTCATCCACACAAAAATAACTGGCTTTACAGTTTGTATGTCAAACCAAGTAACTCTTTTTTTATCTGTCAATAGTGATACTATTACAATCATCATTGAATCATTAGTACAAAACTTTCTGAATGTTGTAATCTTTATAACATAGACAAATTACACAAGTGTGTGCACCATTCCGTATTGTCCAGTTAGGCTTACGAACAGTATGTCAACTGAAATCTTTGAAAACTGTTAAATCTCCTCTCTAGGTAAAGTAAAAGGCTGTCTTCACACTTCTGATGATTTCTGATGGAAACTATTATATTACGATGTAATTTTGAAAAACTTTTACTTGGCATGTCAGTTAGTTATTGCTTCAGTGGAAGTGATCGATGTGTAATGTCTCGAATGACACGTTGATTGTAATATAGAACATTAAAAACCAGCCCCTTGTCCATCTCTCCATTGGGTGTAGAAAAAAACGCCAGATTAGAAACCGGCCCCATGCCCTTTCTTGCCATTGGGTGAGGTATAGAACACCAGATTAGAAGCCGGCCCTCATGCACTCAGTCACAATTGGGTGTGGTGTAGAACACCAGATTAGAAGCCAGCCCTATGGCCTCACTCACCATCGGGTGTGGTATAGAACACCAGATTAGAAGCCGGCCCCATGCCCTCAGTCACCATTGGGTGTGGTGTAGAACACCAGATTAGAAGCCGGCCCCGTGCCCTCACTCACCATTGGGTGTGATATAGAACACCAGATTTGAAGACGGCCCCATGCCCTCACTCACCATCAGGTGTGGTATAGAACACCAGATTAGAAGCCGGCCCCATGCCCTCAGTCACAATTGGGTGTGGTGTAGAACACCAGATTAGAAGCCGGCCCTATGGCCTCACTCACCACTGGGTGTGACATAGAACACCAGATTAGAAGCCGGCCCCATGCCCTCACTCACCATCAGGTGTGGTATAGAACACCATATTAGAAGCCGGCCCCATGTCTCACTCACCATTGGGTGTGGTATAGAACACCAGCTTAGAAGCTGGCCCCATGCCCTCACGGTTGCTGGCACGGATCTTGAAGTAGTACAGAGTGTCAGGAACAAGACCGTTGACAGTGCTGGTAAGCTGATCTCCCATCATTTCTTGTCGGTTCCAAGCATTTTCATCCTCACGAGAATTAGTTGTGTAATACAACATGTAGCCTGGACCAAATATAAGTATATACAGCGTTATAATGTATAGAGCAAAGTCAGTTAGCAAACACTTGCTTTCTTGCAGTCTTTCTTAGTGCATTCAAAATGTTTTATACAAGTAGGAACAATTAATTGAAACTGACTGACAAAATTTGTCATGCTTATGCTTGATAAACTTTTGCTTTCTGTGGTCAATTTCCCATTCCAATCTAATATCATCCTTAATTTAACATTATTCCCTTACGTTCAATCTGTCCACTGGTATCCTCAGGTGGCTGCCAATTCAGGGTGACAGCACGAGCATTACCATCAACAGACACAGGAGTGAGGTCACGTGGGGCAGACATCGGCGCTGGAAGAAAAACAAGGGACCAAAATCACAAAACATCAATAGATACAAAGTCAAAGGTATGTTCAAATGTGAGCTAATGAAACTACATTAAAATGGAAAGTCAACTGAGCCAAGAAACAGGAGTAACCAAAGTCATTGCAGCAGAACTTTTGTATATCTACCTCTGTCATCCTGTACCTGGTAACAGGAATATCCACCAAGTCATTGAAGCAGAACTTTTGTATACCTACCTCTGTCATCCTGGACCTGGTAACAGGAATATCCACCAAGTCATTGAAGCAGAACTTTTGTATACCTACCTCTGTCATCCTGGACCTGGTAACAGGAATATCCACCAAGTCATTGAAGCAGAACTTTTGTATACCTACCTCTACCTCTGTCATCCTGGACCTGGGAACAGGAATACCCACCAAGTCATTGAAGCAGAACTTTTGTATACCTACCTCTGTCATCCTGGACCTGGTAACAGGAATATCCACCAAGTCATTGAAGCAGAACTTTTGTATACCTACCTCTGTCATCCTGGACCTGGTAAAAGGAATATCCACCAAGTCATTGAAGCAGAACTTTTGTATACCTACCTCTGTCATCCTGGACCTGGTAACAGGAATATCCACCAAGTCATTGAAGCAGAACTTTTGTATACCTACCTCTGTCATCCTGGACCTGGTAAAAGGAATATCCACCAAGTCATTGAAGCAGAACATTTGTATATCTACCTCTGTCATCCTGGACCTGGTAACAGGTATATCCACCAAGTCATTGAAGCAGAACTTATGTATACCTACCTCTACCTCTGTCATCCTGGACCTGGTAACAGGAATACCCACAAAGTCATTGAATGAGTACTTATGTATACCTACCTCTGTCATCCTGGACCTGGTAACAGGAATACCCACAAAGTCATTGAATGAGTACTTATGTATACCTACCTCTACCTCTGTCATCCTGGACCTGGTAACAGGAATACCCACAAAGTCATTGAATGAGTACTGATGTATACCTACCTCTACCTCTGTCATCCTGGACTTGGGAACAGGAATACCCACATCCATTGTAGCAGCACTTCTGCGTACTAGCACACTGATAGTCTGTCTGACATTCATACCCACATGTACCAACTTCACCTAATCGCAGAATTGGACACTCTCCTTCCTTAAATTCGGGAGGGTCATCTGAAAAGGATTGCACATAGAGGTATACTCTTATCCCACATCAAAGTGGTCAAGTGCTATTTTTGACTAAATAATAGGTTTAGACCTTGATGATGTACATGATACTTTGGTAAATCTATTAGGTGGTTCATGAGGTATGTTCTTGTCTACAAGATTTTTATTTAAAAAGTGGTTAAGTGTGACCTTTGACTTTTTAACCCTGATGTATGACAAATCAAAATTAAAGTGTAGAACTTAATGGTGTGAATATGAACTGACTCTTCATGTTACAGACACAAGTACAGACTAAAACTCACTATACTCCCCCAAACCTCAAACCACTTTTACTTAATGAGTGGTATAAAGTTTCTTTTCATAAATAAACTTAAGATAAACTAAAACTGATCTCCAGAGAGAAAAAAAAAGAAGGAAAGCACTGGGTATCCTCACAGGCAATTACACAATTCAACAACTAGTGATCCAGTCATCAAGTTTGACTACAGTCAATCATTATGTGTACTGTGACTAGTGTGAGCTGTGGTCTCATTTTGTATCCTGACAGGTATGGCCCAGCCCCTCCTTCAACCTTACATTACTTATTTATTAGGATTTATTAGGATATATGATGGACGCAGGCTGGGAATAAGCCTCTGTGTCCATATCTGTAAATGAATTTACAATAAATAATATTCTTAAAGATAAATACTTCTGGTGTTATTTCATGACTTTAAAATAAAATATCGATTTCTTTCCAGTGTTCATCAAATAAAATTTCGAACTGTTTAACTGTATTAGTATCAACGACATGTTGAGGTAAACTGTTCCATACATTTGTTGTTCTTTGACTAAAGAAATGTTTTCTGATGTCTAATCGAGAATGTTTCTTATACAATTTCTTGGAGTGTCCCCTTGTTGTAGTGGAGGATGCCATCTGGAATAGGTTTTTCGGAACTCTTGTATCATATTTATTGTTTATGACTTTGAAGGTGTTAATCATGTCTCCCCTCATCCTGCGATGTTTTAAGGTAGGTAGGTCCAGTCTCGCTAAGCGCTATTCATACGATAAATGTTTAAAAAACCTGGTATTAATTTCGTGGTTCTCCTTTGAATGTTTTCAATCTGACTGGCCCCTTACAATGTGCATCCTGACTCTGGCCCCTTAAAATGTGTATCCTGTCTCTGGGCCCTGACATTGTGTATCCTGAATCTAACCCCTGATATGGGTATTCTGACTCTGGCCCCTGACATTGTGCATCCTGACTCTGGCCCCTGACATTGTGAATCCTGACTCTGGCCCCTGACATTGTGCATCCTGACTCTGACCCTTGACATTATGTATTGAATCTGGCCCCTGACATTATGTATTGACTCTAGCCCCTGACCTTGTGTATCCTGACTCTGACCCCTGACATTGTGTATCCTGACTCTGGCCCCTGACATTGTGAATCCTGACTCTGGGCCCTGACATTGTGTATCCTGAATCTAACCCCTGATATGGGTATTCTGACTCTGGCCCCTGACATTGTGTATCCTGACTCTGGCCCCTGACATTGTGAATCCTGACTCTGGCCCCTGACATTGTGTATTCTGACTCTGACCCCTGACATTGTGTATCCGTATCCTGACTCTAGCCCCTGACATTGTGCATGCTGACTCTGGCCCCTGACATTGTGAATCCTGACTCTGGCCCCTGACATTGTGCATCCTGACTCTGGCCCCTGACATTGTGAATCCTGACTCTAGCCCCTGACATTGTGCATCCTGTCTCTGGCCCCTGACATTATGTATTGACTCTGGCCCCTGACATTGTGCATCCTGACTCTGGCCCCTGACATTGTGAATCCTGACTCTAGCCCCTGACATTGTGTATCCTGTCTCTGGCCCCTGACATTGTGTATCCTGACTCTGGCCCCTGACATTGTATATCCTGACTCTGGCCCCTGACATTGTGAATCCTGACTCTGGGTCCTGACATTGTGTATCCTGAATCTAACCCCTGATATGGGTATTCTGACTCTGGCCCCTGACATTGTGTATTCTGACTCTGACCCCTGACATTGTGTATCCGTATCCTGACTCTAGCCCCTGACATTGTGCATGCTGACTCTGGCCCCTGACATTGTGAATCCTGACTCTGGCCCCTGACATTGTGCATCCTGACTCTGGCCCCTGACATTGTGAATCCTGACTCTAGCCCCTGACATTGTGCATCCTGTCTCTGGCCCCTGACATTATGTATTGACTCTGGCCCCTGACATTGTGCATCCTGACTCTGGCCCCTGACATTGTGAATCCTGTCTCTAGCCCCTGACATTGTGTATCCTGTCTCTGGTCCCTGACATTGTGTATCCTGACTCTGGCCCCTGACATTGTGTATCCTGACTCTGGCCCCTGACATTGTGAATCCTGACTCTGGGTCCTGACATTGTGTATCCTGAATCTAACCCCTGATATGGGTATTCTGACTCTGGCCCCTGACATTGTGTAGCCTGACTCTGGCTCCTGACATTGTGAATCCTGTCTCTGGCCCCGGACATTGTATATCCTGACTCTGACCCCTGACATTGTGTATCCGTATCCTGACTCTGGCCCCTGACATTGTGTACCTGATTCTGGCCCCTGACATTGTGAATCCTGACCCTAGCCCCTGACATTGTGCATCCTGTCTCTGGCCCCTGACATTGTGTATCCTGACTCTGGCCCCTGACATTATGTATCCTGACTCTGGCCCCTGACATTGTGTATCCGTATCCTGACTCTGGCCCCTGACATTATGTATCCTGACTCTGACCCCTGACATTGTGTATCCTGACTCTGGCCCCTGACATTGTGAATCCTGACTCTAGCCCCTGACATTGTGTATCCTGACTCTGACCCTTGACATTATGTATTGACTCTGACCCCTGACATTGTGCAACCTGACTCTGACCCCTGACATTGTGTATCCTGACTCTGACCCTTGACATTGTGCATCTTGACTCTGACCCTTGACATTGTGTATCCTGACTCTGGCCCCTTACATTATGTATTGACTCTGGCCCCTGACATTATGTATCCTGACTCTGACCCCTGACATTGTGCATCTTGATTCTGACCCTTGACATTGTGTATTGACTCTGGCCCCTGACATTGTGCATCCTGACTCTGGCCCCTGACATTGTGAATCCTGACTCTGACCCCTGACATTGTGCATCCTGACTCTGGCCCCTGACATTATGTATCCTGACTCTGACCCCTGACATTGTGAATCCTGACTCTAGCCCCTGACATTGTGTATCCTGACTCTGACCCTTGACATTATGTATTGACTCTGACCCCTGACATTGTGCATCCTGACTCTGACCCTTGACATTGTGTATCCTGACTCTGACCCTTGACATTGTGCATCTTGACTCTGACCCTTGACATTGTGTATCCTGACTCTGACCCTGACATTGTGTATCCTGACTCTGGCCCCTGACATTATGTATCCTGACTCTGACCCCTGACATTGTGCATCTTGATTCTGACCCTTGACATTGTGTATTGACTCTGGCCCCTGACATTGTGCATCCTGACTCTGGCCCCTGACATTGTGAATCCTGACTCTGGTCCCTGACATTGTGCATCCTGACTCTGGCCCCTGACATTGTGAATCCTGACTCTAGCCCCTGACATTGTGTATCCTGTCTCTGGCCCCTGACATTATGCATTGACTCTAGCCCCTGACATTGTGTATCCTGACTCTGACCCCTGACATTGTGTATCCTGACTCTGGCTCCTGACATTGTGTATCCTGTCTCTGGCCCCTGACATTGTGTATCCTGACTCTGGCCCCTGACATTATGCATTGACTCTGGCCCCTGACATTATGCATCCTGACTCTGGCCCCTGACATTATGTATCCTGACTCTGACCCCTGACATTGTGTATCCTGACTCTGGCCCCTGACATTGTGTATCCTGACTCTGACCCCTGACATTGTGTATCCTGACTCTGGCCCCTGACATTGTGAATCCTGACTCTAGCCCCTGACATTGTGCATCCTGACTCTGACCCTTGACATTATGTATTGACTCTGACCCCTGACATTGTGCATCCTGACTCTGACCCCTGACATTGTGCATCTTGACTCTGACCCTTGACATTGTGTATCCTGACTCTGACCCTTGACATTGTGAATCCTGACTCTAGCCCCTGACATTGTGTATCCTGTCTCTGGTCCCTGACATTGTGTATCCTGACTCTGGCCCCTGACATTGTGTATCCTGACTCTGGCCCCTGACATTGTGAATCCTGACTCTGGGTCCTGACATTGTGAATCCTGACTCTGACCCTTGACATTATGTATTGACTCTGGCCCCTGACATTGTGCATCCTGACTCTGGCCCCTGACATTGTGTATCCTGAATCTAACCCCTGATATGGGTATTCTGACTCTGGCCCCTGACATTGTGTATCCTGACTCTGACGCCTGACAATGTGTATCCTGACTCTGGCCCCTGACATTATGTATCCTGACTCTGACCCCTGACAATGTGCATCCTGACTCTGACCCCTGACAATGTGTATCCTGACTCTGACCCTTGACATTATGTATTGACTCTGGCCCCTGACATTATGCATCCTGTCTCTGGCCCCTGACATTGTGTATCCTGACTCTGGCCCCTGACATTGTGTATCCTGACTCTGGCCCCTGACATTGTGAATCCTGACTCTGGCCCCTTACATTATGTATTGACTCTGGCCCCTGATATGTGTATCCTGACTCTGACCCCTGATATGGGTATTCTGACTCTGGCCCCCTTACATTGTATATCCTGACAAGTGTGGCCACATCCGTTACTGCAGCACTTCTGATCTGCATGACACTCATAGTCAGATCGACATTCCTCTACACAGGCACCCATCCTACCAAGAGGAACTACTTTGCAAGAACCAGGTTTAAACTCCTCTCTCTCTCCTGTAACAGTAACCAAATTGAAATTTGAAAGTCAAAGCTCAATATTAATTAGTTCACACTATCACAATGCAAAATGATACATAAAATGGCACATGAAAAAATCTTGAAAAAAAAATTGTAATAACAGAAGGCTTAATGGATTTGTATTACTCATCTGGTTTGAAGTGTAGAAGCATCCAAATTTATACTAGCCATAACCATGCTACTGGACAGATATCATAATGACATGAAGTTTGACACCCTTAGACTGATGGTGGGTCAAGGACATTCATTTGAACAAACTCATATACCATTCATCTTTGAATGATACATGACATCTTGCCTCATCCTTTCTCAGAGTAAGTTTGAAGATTTAAGATATCTGACTTCTGTGTTTTGAAAAATGTTTTAAGGCCATTCATCCAAGATTGCTTCTGGCCAAATATCTTGAGTCTATCTTGATGAATGTCACAGAGGTAATATTGAGGAGACTCTTGCCAGGAATGATAAGGGCATTATACCTACCATGGGGACTCCGACAGGATCGACCACACCCACTAACACTTGTGCAACATTTCTGGGCTCCCTGACAGTCATAATCTGACTGGCACTCATTATCACAGGAGCCAGTACGATCATGGGCAACAGGTGGACACTGCCCAGGCTTGTATTCCTCCCTAACAGCTGTAACATAACAAAATATTGTTTACACCTGCACACAACTTTGTAATAAAACAGATCTACTTGTTAACCCCTGAGCTATAACAATTTTACCTGCAAACACTGAGCTGTGAAACTAACTTTTGAACACTTGACCTATCACACTCTTCCCTATAAACACCTGAGCCATCACACTCTTACAGGTGTGCGCTATTTTGCTCAAAACACCTGAACTATCACATTTTTGCCTGTAAACACCTGAACTATCACATTTTTGCCTGTAAACACATGATCTATCACATTTTGCCTGTTAACACTTGAACTATCACATTTTGGCCTGTGAACACCTGAACTATCACATTTTGGACTGTGAACACCTGAACTATCACATTTTGGACTAAACACCTGAACTATCACATTTTTGCCTGTAAACACCTGAACTATCACATTTTTGCCTGGGAACACCTGAACTATCACAATTTTGTCTGTAAACACCGGAACTATCACATTTTTGCCTGTAAACACCTGAACTATCACATTTTTGCCTGTAAACACCTGAACTATCACATTTTGCCTGTGAACACCTGAACTATCACATTTTGGCCTGTGAACACCTGAACTATCACATTTTGGACTGTGAACACCTGAACTATCACATTTTGGACTGTAAACACCTGAACTATCACAGTTTTGCCTGTGAACACCTGAACTATCACAATTTTGTCTGTAAACACCTGAACTATCATATTTTTGCCTGTAAACACCTGAACTATCACATTTTTGCCTGTAAACACCTGAACTATCACATTTTTGCCTGTAAACAGATGATCTATCACAGTACTTGGTTATGTTGAAAATGCCAGACCTATTACACTATTACTTGTAAACACTTGAATTATTACAGCATTACCTGTAAACATTTGAGTACTGTAACATGTACACACCTGTGATATTACACTATAAACACAGGTGGTATTACAGACCTGGTTTAACCACTGGTGCATTGACACATGCAGCTTTACACTCCTCCTCATCTGCAAAATTATTTCCATTTCCATCGCAGCCTCCATACCAAAACCGGTCACAACGGGAATCCTCATTATTATAAAACCATCTGACAGTATAATCAGAACATGTGCCTCGCTCACTGTCCAGTCTACACACATCTGTAGGTAAACAACAAAGTATACTTTGACATGTACTTCAATATACTCTGAAATATCATGAAATTTTCACAAAGGATGAACAGTCATAGTTATCAAAGTTGTACTAGAACAATAACAGTGTATACAACAACTCAATCAAAACTGATTTTAATATCAACACCAAAGTTTGATATTTTTTTTTGCAATTCAAACCTTGAAGAATTCTTTCATTTCTTCACCCTTGTGATTCAAATGTGATGAACTTTTACCCTGATAATGTGCACCATGTTTATTTACTTTGCCACACTTGGTAACTGTTGATACCAGTGTGCTTCTGATAAAATGTCACACTTGGTAGCTGTTGATACCAGTGTGCTTCTGACAAAAGATCACACTTGGTAGCTGTCGATACCAGTGTGCTTCTGACAAAAGATCACACTTGGTAGCTGTCGATACCAGTGTGCTTCTGACAAAAGATCACACTTGGTAGCTGTCGATACCAGTCATCTAGACCCTTTGGTTAAGAAAGAAATAGTACAATTATTGAAAGTCCACTATAGTTAAGTATCTTCATTCTAGGCCTCATGATTAATGGGGAAAAAGCCATATAAAAAATGATGTACCAACAGAATAACACCTGTTCTGTACCTACAGTATAACACATGTACCAACAGAATAACACCTGTTCTGTACCTACAGTATAACACCTGTTCTGTACCTACAGTATAACACATGTACCAATAGTATAACACCTGTTCTGTACCTAGAGTATAACACCTGTTCTGTACCTACAGTATAACATCTGTTCTGTACCTACAGTATAACACCTGTTCTGTACCTACAGTAAAGCACCTGTTCTGTTCCTACAGTAAAACACCTGTTCTGTACCTACAGTATGTATAACACCTGTTCTGTACCTACAGTATAACACCTGTTCTGTTCCTACAGTAAAACACCTGTTCTGTACCTACAGTATGTATAACACCAGTTCTGTACCTACAGTATTACATCTGTTCTGTACCTACAGTATAACACACGTACCTACAGTATAACTCCTGTTCTGTACCTACAGTATAACACCAGTTCTGTACCTACAGTATTACATCTGTTCTGTACCTACAGTATAACACAAGTACCTACAGTATAACACCTGTTCTTTACCTACAGTATAACATCTGTTCTGTATTTACAGTATAACACATGTATCTACAGTATAACACCTGTTCTGTACCTACAGTATAACACCTGTACCTATAGTATAACACCTATTCTGTACCATCAGTATAACACCTGTTCTGTACCTACACTATAACATCTGTACAGTATAACACCTATTCTGTACCAACAGTATAACACCTGTTCTGTACCTACAGTATAACACCTGTTCTGTACCTACAGTATGTATAACACCTGTTCTGTACCTACAGTATAACACCTGTTCTGTACCTACAGTATAACACCTGTTCACTACCTACAGGATAACACCTGTTCTGTACCTACAGTATAACATCTGTTCTGTACCTACAGTATAACATCTGTTCTGTACCTACAGTATAACACCTGTTCTGTTCCTACAGTAAAACACCTGTTCTGTACCTACAGTATAACATCTGTTCTGTACCTACAGTATAACACATGTACCAACAGTATAACATCTGTTCTGTACCTACAGTATAACAAATGTACCTACAGTAAAACACCTGTTCTGTACCTACAGTATAACACCTGTTCTGTACCTACAGTATAACAAATGTACCTACAGTATAACACCTGTTTTGTACCTACAGTATAACACCTGTTTTGTACCTACAGTATAACACCTGTACCTACAGTATAACACATATTCTGTACCTACAGTATAACACCTGTTCGCTACCTACAGGATAACACCTGTTCTGTACCTACAGTATAACACCTGTTCTGTACCTACAGTATAACACCTGTTCTGTTCCTACAGTAAAACATCTGTTCTGTATTTACAGTATAACACCTGTTCTGTACTTACAGTATAACACATGTTCTGTACCTACAATATAACATCTGTTCTATACCTATAGTATAACATCTGTTCTGAATTTACAGTATAACACATGTTCTGTACTTACAGTATAACACATGTTCTGTACCTACAGTATAACATCTGTTCTGTACCTACAGTATAACACCAGTTCTGTACCTACAGTATAACATCTGTTCAGTACCTACAGTATAACACCTGTTCTATACCTACAGTATAACACATGTACAGTATAACACCTGTTCTGTACCTACAGTATAACACATGTACAGTATAACACCTGTTCTGTACCTACAATATAACAACTGTACAGTATAACACCTGTTCTGTACCTACAATATAACATCTGTTCTATACCTATAGTATAACATCTGTTCTGTATTTACAGTATAACACCTGTTCTGTACCTACAGTATAACACCCATACCTACAGTATATCACCTGTTCTATACCTACAGTATAACACTCATCCTACAGTATTACACCTGTTCTATACCTACAGTATAACATCTGTACAGTACCTACAGTATAACACCTGTTTTGTACCTATACTATTACACCTGTTCTGTTCCTAAAGTACATTTTATAAGAACTTACTGAAACTCTGTCAGAAACATCATCAGAATTATTCCTGTAATGAAGTTGTAAAGCAAGAAAACATCAAGTCCATTGCAACCTTGCAAAAACACAAAGGTCATGCTTCACTTATTTGGCCATCACTTTGCAAACGCTGCAGCTCAATTTGTGATAGCATAACCACATATCTGTATGAGTTTAAACATGGAAAAATCATATGAGACATACATAATACATTACAAAGTTGGAGCCAATACAATAACAGTCAGCAAAAAGACAAGGGAAGTAAGATGCTTGGTAGTGTATAGGTGTACACAATTGGTAGCAGAGCCATTGGGTTAACAACAGATAGCAACAGAGCTCTTGGCTTTCATCACTTTCTCTTTTGCAAATCACCAGAAGAATTTTCCACAGAAGTCAGTGTGTTGCATATGTAGACAAACAGAGAGAGAAAAAAAATTCCAGCCCAAGGAGTCTTTCAGTAAAAAGGGTTCGGTCTGAATTTTGAACATGAGTGGCCATGGGGATTTTAAGTTATTACTTTGAAATTTTCTCTTTATATAATGTTACATTTGCCTGTGGACCTAATAAAGTCTACTTTTACCATATAAACATCTATATCCACAGGAGGATATATTTAATGACCAAATATGTTACCCACCTGAAGTTATAAGGGTCTCCGGACAACCATATCTGTTCTCCCCACGAGCTGATGTAAGACCATCAGCACAACAGCCAAAGCGGGTTTCACTGCATTCTTCCAGTATTGCAGATGGTAATAGAGGTTGTGGTTTTGCTGCTTCAGGGCATCCATATCTGTTTTCTCCAAGGGCAGATGTAACACCATCCTCACAGCAGCCATAACGTGTTCCTGCACATCCACCAACAAAAACTGGTTCATTTTCAGGACAGCCTTGTCTGCTTTCTCCCAGAGCTGAAGTTAATCCATCCTCACAACATCCATAACGTGTTCCTGCACATCCACCAACAAAAACTGGTTCATTTTCAGGACAGCCTTGTCTGCTTTCTCCTAGAGCTGATGTTAATCCATCCTCACAACATCCATAACGTGTTCCTGCACATCCACCAACAAAAACTGGTTCATTTTCAGGACAGCCTTGTCTGCTTTCACCCAGAGCTGAAGTTAATCCATCCTCACAACATCCATAACGTGTTCCTGCACATCCACCAACAAAAACTGGTTCATTTTCAGGACAGCCTTGTCTGCTTTCTCCCAGAGCTGAAGTTAATCCATCCTCACAACATCCATAACGTGTTCCTGCACATCCACCAACCAGAACTGGTTCATTTTCAGGACAGCCTTGTCTGCTTTCTCCCAGAGCTGAAGTTAATCCATCCTCACAACATCCATAACGTGTTCCTGCACATCCACCAACCAGAACTGGTTCATTTTCAGGACAGCCTTGTCTGCTTTCTCCCAGAGCTGATGTTAATCCGTCCTCACAACATCCATAACGTGTTCCTGCACATCCACCAACGAGAATGGGCTTATCGGGCTCAACAACGACTTCTGCAAATGCATGCAACAAAACACAGGTAAAGTCAAACCAATAAGCAATGTCACAAAATTTACCGGGTATAAGCATGGTCACTTACAGGGTAATAAGTGTGGTCACTTACAGGGTAATAAGTGTGGTCACTTACAGGGTAATAAGCGTGGTCACTTACAGGGTAATAAGTGTGGTCACTTACAGGGTAATAAGTGTGGTCACTTACAGGGTAATAAGCATGGTCGCTTACAGGGTAATAAGTGTGGTCACTTACAGGGTAATAAGTGTGGTCACTTACAGGGTAATAAGCGTGGTCGCTTACAGGGTATAAGCATGGTCGCTTACAGGGTATAAGCATGGTCGCTTACAGGGTAATAAGCATGGTCACTTACAGGGTATAAGCATGGTCACTTACAGGGTAATAAGCGTGGTCGCTTACAGGGTATAAGCATGGTCGCTTACAGGGTAATAAGCATGGTCACTTACAGGGTAATAAGCATGGTCACTTACAGGGTATAAGCATGGTCACTTACAGGGTATAAGCATGGTCACTTACAGGGTAATAAGCGTGGTCGCTTACAGGGTATAAGCATGGTCGCTTACAGGGTAATAAGCGTGGTCACTTACAGGGTATAAGCATGGTCACTTACAGGGTAATAAGCGTGGTCACTTACAGGGTAATAAGCGTGGTCACTTACAGGGTAATAAGCGTGGTCACTTACAGGGTAATAAGCGTGGTCACTTACAGGGTATAAGCATGGTCACTTACAGGGTAATAAGCATGGTCACTTACAGGGTATAAGCATGGTCACTTACAGGGTATAAGCATGGTCACTTACAGGGTAATAAGCGTGGTCACTTACAGGGTAATAAGTGTGGTCACTTACAGGGTAATAAGCATGGTCACTTACAGGGTAATAAGCGTGGTCACTTACAGGGTATAAGCACGGTCACTTACAGGGTAATAAGTGTGGTCACTTACAGGGTAATAAGCATGGTCACTTACAGGGTAATAAGCATGGTCACTTACAGGGTATAAGCATGGTCACTTACAGGGTAATAAGCATGGTCACTTACAGGGTAATAAGCGTGGTCACTTACAGGGTAATAAGCATGGTCACTTACAGGGTATAAGCATGGTCACTTACAGGGTAATAAGCGTGGTCACTTACAGGGTAATAAGCGTGGTCGCTTACAGGGTAATAAGTGTGGTCACTTACAGGGTAATAAGCATGGTCACTTACAGGGTAATAAGTGTGGTCACTTACAGGGTAATAAGCGTGGTCGCTTACAGGGTAATAAGTGTGGTCACTTACAGGGTAATAAGCATGGTCACTTACAGGGTAATAAGCATGGTCACTTACAGGGTAATAAGCGTGGTCACTTACAGGGTAATAAGCATGGTCACTTACAGGGTAATAAGCGTGGTCACTTACAGGGTAATAAGCATGGTCACTTACAGGGTAATAAGCATGGTCACTTACAGGGTAATAAGCGTGGTCACTTACAGGGTAATAAGCGTGGTCACTTACAGGGTATAAGCATGGTCACTTACAGGGTAATAAGCATGGTCACTTACAGGGTAATAAGCATGGTCACTTACAGGGTAATAAGCGTGGTCACTTACAGGGTAATAAGCGTGGTCACAACAACTTATTGCTTTTTTAGTGAAGTAATGTTTATGATATACATTAAAGATATGTAAGATTCTAATATTATATAAAACAATATTTTAAGCAACACCATAGAGAAGAACAATCTCCATCCTTCCTATGTCTTAGAGAAATTTATCTCATGATTATGTTGTTATTCTGTGAATATACTCATGTCATATTTTTTGTGTATTATACAGTGTAATAAAGCTTATTGTGGCATCATTTTAGATAACAAAATGACATCACACATTCTAAGATGACTTTGTGACATAACAATGGAGACCTTAGAAATACAGAGCAGGCATGACTTCAAGTGTGACATAAAAGTGTCTTTTTTTCAAACAATATCTGCCAGAACAGTTTAATCGTGTGATAAAAAAGATCGGACACTTTTTTTTATTTGATATGTGATTCATGAAACTTGTCACAAAATTTTCATTTTAGTTCACCAAAGGCTTGCACAATGAACTTTGAAAGAGATCAGTTGAAGTTAATAACAATCACAGATAATGCTATCCCTCCCAGCAAAATGTTTCACCTATTAACTGTTTAAACAGAGTTCAATATCAAATTTCAGTAGCCTGGTTATTACTATACAACAACTGGGTTACAAATGATGATAAATGAAGGAATCAATTTAGAAGCACTAGAAATTTTCAGCTAGAGCTAAATCAGTAATACAAAAAGGAAGAACAAGGCTTGGTCAGTAACATTCAGATTTTTTAAGTCCTGGTTGACAAGATACAAAATCTACCTGAGGATTATGTGACATCTAGCAAAGAAATAACTTGGGAATGTCAAAAATCAGTAATTATAACGAAATATCTGAAACCTGGAGCTGATAAATCTGTATACTTATGGCCATGAAAATAATACCTTGGATTTATCATATATGGCTGTTTAAATATAACATTTCAGGCACAAATCAACACAGACGCCAAAATATGAAGACAAGCCTCAAAAGTTCTAGTCCAGGCAGATCAGAAAGCAAAAGAAGACCAGTAGGTCCATGTACATTTCACGAGTAAATAACTCTGGTCCAACCGGTCAAACCCATCAATGAAAACCTCCCTGGCCAGGCGAGTCCTTTACTGGCAGTAAAGACAGTGACCAGATAGAGAGCCCTCATTGTCTTAGAATAACATGAGGCAATTTGACACAAAATCACTATCTTATGAAATACTGACTGTGGACTTGTACCCATGGAGACAGGATACTGCAGAACACCAGGAATCCATCACTGAATGATACAGTATCACAGCAGGTTCAGTCAACAAAAATTAGAAACAGATGAACATTACAGTGAACTACAACATTCCTGTTAAAAATGCTGGTCCCCTTGTGATCAGCAAAATCAAGGCCAACAATGATAAAAAGGAATCTACAGACACCTCCACTTTATAAGAAGAAAAAACATTTTTTGGGGGGTACTATCTAGGCATGGTATTTCAAGAAAATAAAACCATAAAAATTCTTTCTGTATTATAGAGTTGTGTGTGATGTCAGGGTTGTTGGTAACCATACCTTGTGATTAAGGAAAGCAACCTGACCCACATCACACACAACTCTCCACACCCTAGCATATACCCTACAACCCTGACATGACACACAACTCTCCACACCCAAGTATATTCCTTATAACCCTGACATGACACACAATTCTCCACACCCCAGTATATTCCAAATAACCCTGACATCACACGCAATTCTCCACACCCAAGTATATTCCCTATAACCCTGACATGACACACAATTCTCCACACCCCAGTATATTCCAAATAACCCTGACATAACACACAATTCTCCACACCCCAGTATATTCCAAATAACCCTGACATCACACACAACTCTCCACACCCCAGTATATACCCTACAACCCTGCCATCACACACAACTCTCCACACCCCAGTATATACCCTACAACCCTGAAATTAAGGTGACATGATCACAATATACGCCCAGTAACTGGCCCACCTACGTACTAAATCCTCTGCCCTAGATGTTTCTCTACAAATGTCAGTTACATAGATATTTTATCTAGCCTCAGAGTCACTATTTCTCCTAAGTACATTTGTGATTGTCAGGAAACGTATCAGACAAGGGTCATAATCGGTGACAATTATCGCCAACTGCATCCAATTCACTGCATCCTTTGATGTAGAGTTACTGTTCTTACTAGTTTACAAAAATGAATCATTTCTATAAATTGGTGTCTCCAGAATGTGATTGTGTTCTGTCTTAGGTACCAAAGATATTGCTGTGTTTCTAACCTCTTTTTGCATATCTGAAACATGAATGCTATTGATACTGTTTTGTACATTGTAGTTTGTTGTAATTTATAACAGTGAAACAGTTCACAAACGATTCTCTTTCTGAGAGGATCAAGTGTCACATTATAGCATGTAAAAGGAACATGTACAACATACCACAGACTACAAATACAAAAAAAAAATCCTTAAAATCAAATTACCTGTTATCAAATTCAATAATGAAGCAAGTTTTGGGAAGAAATTACCATTTCTGTCAGACCTTTAAAACAATCACAGTATAAAACAATACTGTATTTGATTACAGAATAGTCCTGATACATTCAGGAACATTTTCCCATAGAGATAACAATGTAAATACAAAAGTAATATCCCTTTTTTATCATAATAAAAAGTAATTTCAACCATTTTAAACAAAGGCTTGCAAAATCCCACTGACTCATCCCACAAAAGGAAAGTTTGTACCATTTGTACAGAAACATAGATAACGGAATTAAACTGTTAATATGATTTTGATTTAGACAGACCTATTTAGAACTGGTGAGAATAGCCTGAAATATTTTGGATATATACACTAGAACATGTGCAATAAGTATTTCCACCAAATTACTGAACTAGTAGCTGGCTGGTTGATGTCACTACCGTGTTGTTGAAGACAAGATAAAAATATTTACATCAAATGTTATGTAAGAGCAATATTATTCTAAATATGATTAATAGCTGGTAAATAATAGTTTGGTAAGAAAAATGTACCAGTTAAGGAATGTCTTACTGGGATTAGCTTATCTTTACTACATATTAGTGGTAGTTTGTAAATTATTCAGAAAGTGGTAAACTCCAACCAACAGATACCAATCTGATACACAAAGCACATAGAGCAACAGAAAGACCAGTAAGGAAAAGAATGTGTTTTAACAGAAAATTGTATTTCTGTTCCTATCCAATGTTTTTTCAACATATACCTTAAAAAAGAGGATAAATGTTCTTCATAACACTGAACACATTATCCATTTGTCAGGGTTTAAAATGCCAAAAGTTACAAGAAGGTTGAAAAAAGGACAAGAAGAATAAGACAACAAAAGACATGGTCAGAGTTTT